GAGACCAGCCTGGTCTACAGAGCTAGTTCCAGGACAGGCTCCAAAGCCACAGAGAAACCCTGTCTCGAAAAAAAAACCAAAAAAAAAAAAAAAAAAAAATTCCTGGTGTTTGTACTTCAGGTGCACAGCAAAACCTAAAACTGCTACTTTAAACCAAAGTCCTCCTTTTATTGTTATAAAATCATAATGCTGAGAGTGTACTAGGATTTAAGTACCTAAAGTATAGTCTGACCAATTTATATCTTCTGAGCTATAATTAGGATCCTCAGGGTTTGTGTGTGTACAAATATTGCAAATTATTTCTTTAAGCTGACAAATTTTTAAAAATACAAACAATCCTTTACTATAAAAGTTTTAAAAATCAAATATGGGTCAGCAATAAAAAGAGAAAAGAACAGGTCATCGAGCAGGCACTTGTCTGTGTCATCGGAGCCAGTTTGTATTCAGCTGGGTCTGCTTCTTGATGCTGGTGTCCATTTTTAGCACTTCTCGAATGGCCATGGTGGCATAAGTAGAAGGAGGAAGAGAGAAATCCATCTTCAGAGCCCGGTATTTGCCCTCTGCCAGGCAAGAAAGAAGTGCATGGTCAAAACTTTTGTGGCGGCAGGCTGACCAGAGATCCCAAGACTCCCCCCAAAGCCACACCCTTTCCTTAGGATTCTTCTCCCCAAGGGTCCTCAGAGAATAACGGAAGTGAGAGCACAGGAGGGTACAAATGAGCTGGGTGGACGGGGTAACTTTATTCAGGATAACAGGGCGGGCAGGGCTGGCAGGACGGCGCATCAAGTCAAAGTACCTGTCACTAAGCCCGATGACCTGAATATGACCCCTAGGACCCACATAGCGAAGAGAACTGGCTCCCGCAAGCTGTCCTCCAATCTATACGTGTGTGCCATGTGTACATAGATATAGACAGGCAGGGAAGACAGACAGACAGACAGACAGACATCTTGTTGATTTACCAGTAGCAAAAACTGGTGGTGGTTTTCCTTCTAGGTTGTCCACATCCGTGTTGAAAAGTGGAATTTTAGGATCATCATATGCAATGACTTCCCTTCAAAATAATAAAGATGAGCATGAATGTGAGCACTCACAAATGCCACAAAGCTCTCTATCCCCCTTTGTAGAGCCAGAAAAACATACTGGTTGACTAGTAGGTGTCCCCTGGAACAGAACAGGCCAGACTCTATGCGCGACTGCCTTTCTATTACTTCATAACAGACGACAAATGCTATCGGGTGATGGGATGACTTGGAAGGTTTCCCTAGCATGGTGGCTTTACTAAGTACAGGTGAACTGGAAGTAACCATGACATTAACATATCCTCCACAGTGAGCACCACTGACTCCACCCCACCCCCGCCTTCTTATGAGAGAAACTGCTCTCCAGAGTGTGGAACGTAAAATCCAACTTTGCCAACTCCGTGCCCATTGTCAGGAAAGAAAAGAGAGAGGGGGAGAGAGAGAGGGAGGAAGAGAGGGAGGAAGGGAGGGAAGGAGGGAGGGAGGGAGGGAGGGAGGGAGGGAGGGAGGGAGAAGGAGAGAGAGAGACAGACAGAGAGAGAGAAAGGAAAAAGAATTTACTGGCAATGGGCAACTAGTTCAGGATTTCATTTTAAAGTTAGAAAAGCTTCAGCAAATAGTAAAAATATCAACAGTATCTTTAATATATATATAAATTCTAATTTTATTTAGCATGTATGAGTATTTTGCCTGGATGTGTATCTGTGCACTATGTGTGAATGCCAGAAGAGGGTGTGGATCCCCTGGAACTGGAGTTACAGACAGAGCTGCCATGTTGGTGCTGGGAATTGAACCCTGGTCCTCCAGAGGAACAGTCAGTGTTCTTAACTGTTTAACCATCTTTCTAACTCCAGGAACAAATGGATGTTTTACAAAGAAAGGTAAGAAAGATCATTTTCTGTATATCAGTAAGTCAGGGATACCAACAAAATGTAAAAGAAGAAACTTTTCAAAGACAAACAAATAGGCATCCTCCTGAACCTTCATCAGGCGATGAAAGGAGACAGAGACAGAGATCCACATTGGAGCACCAGACTGAAATCTCAAGGTCCAAATCAGGAGCAGAAGGAGAGAGAGCATGAGTAAGGAACTCAGGACCACGAGGGGTGCACCCACACACTGAGACAATGGGGATGTCCTATCGGGAACTCACCAAGGCCAGCTGGCCTGGGTCTGAAAAAGCCTGGGTTAAAACCGGTCTCACTGAACATAGTGGACAATGAGGACTACTGAGACCTCAAGAACAATGGCAATGGGTTTTTGATCCTACTGCACCTATTGGTTTCGTGGGAGCCTAGGCAGTTTGGATGGAGGTGGGTGGTCCTTGGACTTCCCACAGGGCAGGGAACCCTGATTGCTCTTTGGGCTGACGAGGGAGGGGGACTTGATTAGGGGAGGGGGAGGGGGAGGGGAGGTGGCGGTGGGGAAGAGACAGAAATCTTTAATAAATAAATAAATAAAAGAAGAAGAAGAAACTTTTATTATATGACTTCAGTCAACACTAATTTCTTGGTCACTTGAAAAATACCAACTGGTGGCAGTATAACAGCAGTAATCAGGACAGTTAACAGCTACGGAGCACTTACACTCACAGAACCACATACACACAAAGCAAAAACCTGTCGTTCTATAAAATGTCCCAGTTCTGTACTCACCAGCTGACATTCTGAGGCCGAATAATGATCTTTCGATAGGCACCTGATAAAGAATAATCTCGAATTGTGTGTCTCATGTTGTCAATATCAAGATTGTCTGCAGTGAGCATTTCCCTGTAGGCTTCACTAACTGGGACAAAACACAAACAGTTAACTGGAATGCAGTCTGTCAGCAGGTGAGCTTGAACTATAGTAGAACTGGCAAAATATGTGGTCAGTACAGTCAGACTGTCCTAATAAAGTTCGTTAACTCTAGTTTGTAACCCATAGGGAATAAAACTTAGCAACCAGGCCTAAAAGATACCTCCAGCGTTAGTGGAGTCACCCTGTGGCTTTATTTCTGTAATCAGCTATAGGGCTTGTGGCATAAAGTTCCCAAACTAACTCCCAAAGGTCACTCTACATGGAGTTTCTAAATAAAATTTATACAAAGTGACTCTAAATGTTTAAAAACATAAGACCCTAGAAGCCATCTGGTCTACCCTAGGCCATGACTCTCTAATGTTCTCCTACGAGACATCGTAGGAGACTTGTGTGGGGACTATTACACAAGCCACAACATGAGAAAGTTCCTCCTATTGCAAACAGGTTGTTTTCTTATGGGCTCTATTGACTTCTCGGAAACACGGTAGATTAGCTGGCCTCTACATACATCCATAAGCACTGGAGCCATAGGTTGTTTCATCTGACTTTGGTTCTTTCAACTGTCTCTCCTCTAACGTTTTTGGTTATCTGCCCCAGGTTACAGGACTCAACAGTAACTCCAGATACTTTATTTTTGTTGTTGTTGTAGCTTTTCTATTTATTTATTTCAGAGAGTGTTTCCCTGTGCAGTTGTAGCTGTCCTGGAACGAGCTCTGTAGGCCAGCCTGGCCTCAAACTTAGAAAATCACCTGCCCTTGCTTCCTGAGTGTTGGGACTAAAGCCATGGGCCACCACACCCAGCTCAGATACTTTTTAATTCATTTTTTTTCATTTTATTAATTGTGTGTGAGTGTGTTGTGTATGAGAGTGAGCGCAAGCGCGCTGTGTGTGGGCGCGTGTGTGGAAGACAGGGCACACACATGGAGGTTAGAGGACAACACTGGTGTTGGTCCTTTCCTTGACTTCACTTGTGTTCCAGCGACACAAACTTAGGTGTCACACGGCAAGTGCCTTTACCCATCTTGCTGGCCCTTAACATTTTTCTTTCTTAGAGACAAGGCCTCACTATGTACCCCTGGTTGGCCTCAAAGTCACAGTGATTACCCTGCCTCTACCTCCTGAGTCACCACACACAGGATTCATGGCCTTTAATTTTTTTATAAGCTACCATCAAGCTAATTTTTCTTTTCATGATTAAACAAATTCAGTTTTATTTATGGAAATGTATGTATGTTTGTGTGTAAATATCTGTATATGTGCATGTGGGTGTCTAGGGAGGTCAAACGGTGGCCCTGGAAACCCTTGGGGCTTAAGTTTCAGGCTCATGTGTGCCACCTGGGTGCTGGGAACTGAACTCAGGTTGTCTGGAAGAGTAACAACCTTTCTTGACCACAGGGCCATCTCTCTAGAATGTTGCTATGCAGCTCAGGAGCCTTTTCCCGATTACTAACATTAACTTCATCTTACATTATTACAAATATAAGACGACTTAGGAACACAGTCAACTCATTTCTTTATTCAAATTAGTCATTACAAATGCTTGAAATACAGGGACAAGGAAAGAAGACACTCACCATACTCCCGAGAACTTATAGTACTAGACATGCCCATGTTACCAAAGGCCCAAATGCCTAACCCTTCCATCTCGTCAACGGCACTGCAAATGTTCTGCTAAATTTATTTTTACTGGAACCAGCCAAGTTCCAGATTCTGAGAGGAATGAGAGAGAGGGGAGAACATTCTTTGCCTTTTTTTTTGATGGCTATCAACCTGACGTGGTGTACCAATCAGTTTTTCTTAACTTAATACAAACTAGGGTCACCTGGAAGAAGGGAACCTCAACTAAGGAACTGCTTCTTCAGACTGGCCTGTGGCGTCTCTGTGGCACACATCCCCGATTTCTGGTTGCTGTAGGAGGGGTCTAGCCCAGTGTGGGCGGTGCTCTCCTTGGACAGGGTGTCCTGGGTTGTCCTAAGGAGGCAGCAAGCCAGTAAGCAGCTTTCCTCCAGTTCCTTTATCTCCTCCAGCTTCAGTTCCTGCCCTGACTTTTCTCAGTGATTGAGTGTGATCGGGCCGTGTGAGCCAAAGATATCTTTTTCTCCCCTGGTTGCTTCTGATCAGGGTGCTTTATCACAGGAACAGAGGACACTTGGGCAGCAAACTGGTAAACACCAGTTATTCTCACGTTTCAGCTGAGCCTGTCCCACTGCTACTGAAGGGGAAACCCAGGGGATCTGCTCTTGATCAGACCAACCAAGGGGTGCACCGCAGCCATGTCAGTGATAGTGGTTCTGGAAGAGCCTTGCGAGTGAGTCAGTGTGGAAGATTCACTCTTAATGCGGACATGCCCTGAACAGACCGAAAGGCAAAGACCTGGAACACCACCTTTCTCCTGCCCCTGGACTTCATGATCCTAGGTTCTTGTACCGCTAGCCCCAGACTGACAGTCAGGACAATGCCTTCTCTGGCCCTCTAGGCTCTTGTACCGCTAGCCCCAGAGTGACAGTCAGGACAATGCCTTCTCTGGCCCTCTAGGGCCAATTCATGCCTCAGAGACAGGTACTGGTCCCACTACTAGTGACCCCACAGAAGACCAAGCTACACAACTGTCACCCACATGCGGAGGGCCTAGGCTGGTCCCATGCCGGCACCCTAGCTGTTCATCCAGAGACTGTGAGCTCCCAAAAGCTCGGGTCAGCTGTCTCTGTGGGTTTCCCCATCACATCTGGACCCCTTGCTCATATAATCCCTCCTCTCTCCCTTCAACTGGACTCCTAGAGCTTGGCCCAGGGCTTGGCTGTGGATCTATGCATCTGCTTCCCTCAGTTACGGGATGAAGGCTCTATGATAACAATTAGGATAGTCACCAATCTGATGAAGGCCAATTCAGGCACCCTTTCCACTACTGCTAGAAGTCTTAGCTGGGGGCATCCTTGTGGATTTCTGGGAGTTTTCCTGGCATGAGTTTTCTCCTTAATCCCATAATGGTCCGCTAACAGCTTTAGCATCTTGAGCCCTCTCCTTGGTTGCTGCCAAGAGAAACAGACTATGCTCTTCCCTGCCCACCTTCCTTATTCTCTCTTATACCAGTCCACACTCCCTTCTCCCCTTTACCACCAATGACATCCACAAATGTAACAAAAATAATGGCAAAAAGTCTGGAGAATAGGAAGTAATGGCAGAGGATTCTAACTTTCATTTCCTCTTCTCAGGCTGGCATCCAACTTATAGGCTGAAGCAGTCCTCCAGCCTCAGCACTTGGGATCACAGACCCATGATACTGCAGTGGGGTAGCTTTTAATTTATTCTCCTGAATACATTCCTTTCCAGGACCATAAAACTATATATATTATACATATATATGTGTGTGTAATGTATATATTATGTATATATACATAGTACATATATATAGTTAAGAAATTTATACACACATACACACACACTTTTATATAGAGTTTTCTATGTAGCCCTTGGTGGTCTGGAACTAGCTTTGTAGGCCAAGCTAGCCTTGAACTCACAGAGATCTACCAGCCTCTGCTGGGATTAGCTATTACGTGTGCTATAAAGTTTTAAGACTATAATTCAAATATTTATTTTTCCCTTGTTTTACTCTTGGTTACTGATAACTTAATCACATTACACTTGTTTTAAATATTTGGCTCAAACATGGAACTTACTTTTATGTTTGGGGTAGATAACATCAAAACCAGGCAGGGGCATCACCACATCGTGGATGGAGTAATTATTAACATCATCTTCCTCGATATAGGTGGCTGTGGCTGCAAATCCACAAGCAAATAGCAGGTTAAGAAAAAGCATGTTCATGAACTCATGATCCTAAAATTATATACATCTCAGTGAGTTGAAAGCACAAGGGGTCCAGGTGCAGAGGCTCAGAAAGCTTAGAATCCCTCCTTTTTTAATCAGCTGGAATCCTGAGCAAGGCGCTAAATCTTATAAAAATCAGAATACTTCCCAGTAGCGCTACAACAGAGCAACGCAGGGAAAGCGACTGATGTTAAGACCAAAACACAGTTAATTTTTTTTTTTTTTCTTTTTTTTGGTTTTTTGAGACAGGGTTTCTCTGGCTTTAGAGCCTGTCCTGGAACTAGCTCTTGTAGACCAGGCTGGTCTCGAACTCACAGAGATCCGCCTCTGCCTCCCGAGTGCTGGGATTAAAGGCGTGCGCCACCACCGCCCGGCTTGGTTTATTGTTTTTGACTCACAGTATGTTAGCCAAAAAGCTCACAGTTAATGTTTGATAGCGGACAGGATATTAGCATTTCCTTTAAAAATTATTTTATTATCTTGTGTGTAAGGATGCCTTGCCTGCATGTATGTTTGTGCATCATGTGTGGTAAGTATCCCTGGTGGCCAGGAGAGGGCACTGTATCCCTGAAATGCAGTTATAGACAGCTGTGAGCTACTGTGTGTGCGGGGAGTCAACCTGGCTCCTCTAGAAGTCTGTGCTCTTTACAGCCGACAAAATGCTCTGGACCCATATTAACATTTATGCTAATGTTTCAGGCCATTCTGTTACATACTTAGTAAAGAAACTGCCTGATGACACGGTGAGATGCTGTGACACATCCACAAATATATAAATATATATTAAATATATAAATATATGTATTTTGAAGCCCCAGCTTCATGCTTGTAAAGGGCTTTGGGCCAATCGTAGCCCAAAGGTTATTCTGTTATATTACCTGGAGGCCCAGACTTAGCTGCTTATTCAAAACACATACGTATTTTTTTACTGGTGATTAAAAACTATCCGCCTGACCTCATGTGTCCTTCCAACTCCTACTTACTAAACATTTCTTTCTTAACTAGTAGCCACGATGGATTTCAAAAACACTGCTATAAAGTATCTGAGTCCTAATCTGTCTGAATAACAAGATATATGCCATACCTCCTTTGAGAACAAGGTCCCCTGGGACAGGTTTCAGCCCATAGTCTTCTATCCGTTTGCTCACCATGTTATTCCACACATAGCTCTGATAACTATGGATATACATTAAGCGATTATTTCTTGGTATCTGCAGAGAAGGGAGAAATAGGCAAAAACAATCTTGAGCATTTGAAGTGTTGTTTCCCCAAATATTTTACTCATTTAATGGTAACCCCAACACAAGAAACTCAGACTGGGTCTGACTGTGGGGCTGGAAATGCAGCTCAGTGAGGAAGCACTTCAGAGTGTCCTGTGTTATACACACAGATATGAACTGTGCTTACCAATATGGCACCTCGATTGAAAACATGCTAACAGGAAACCACTTAGCTACTTCCTGCTGAACTCCCTTCCTGAGGCACTCTAAAGCTCCAATGAAGATGGTTATAATGGGGTCATATCGATGGCTCAGTAGGTAAAGGCACTTGCCTTGAACTGACCACCTGAATTTGATCTCAAAGGCTGTCCTGGCCTGTGTGCTCAAGTCCATGACCATGCTCTGCATAGGCACAGACACAAATTAAAGTTCTAAAAGACATGACTGTAGGAACACCCCCCCCCTTCGGTTTTTCGTGAGAGGGTTTCTTTGTAGCTTGGAAGTTTGTCTTGGAACTTGCTCTGTAGATCAGGTTGCCCTCAGATTCAGAGATCTACCTGCCTCTGCCTCCCAAATTCTGGGATTAAAGGCGTCTGTGACCATCGCCCGACTGAGTTCTAAAACTTTCAAATCCCATTCAATTACATTAAATTCAATTAGCAATCATACTTTCCATAGACAGTTTTTTGGGCCAATGCTAATAAACACGACCAACATCCCCTCCTCTACCAGCTCATCACCTTTCAGGGTCAGAATGAGGTACACTCTTTGAAGACCACCGAAGGATTCTTGGTGCCCTTGCAAGTTTCTTAAAGATTATGTTTAAAAAGCATTGGCCACCTCGCGTCATGGCCTGACTTCACAGATTGCACTCACTATGCCAAATGCAGAGACTATATTCTTCATCCCGTATTTGGAAAGTCCTCGAAGCAGCTGCCCTTCCACACACCTTTTGACAGGCAGCTTTTTGAGGGCAGACGCTGGATCTTTGGTCTTGGCCCATTCTTCTCTGCATTTCACCAAGTACCCCTTTTCAGCTACGGGAGAAGAGAAGCGGCGATCAAACTTGGCCAACAGAAGAATGTGCGTCACTTCACATGCCTCAGAGGGAGCACAGAACTGGGGAAGACGCACGCGTACTGACGGAGCTCACGGCTGCTCCAAAGCAAGAGCTCATCCCCACCTCAGCTAAGGAGCTTTCTCCTTCTCTTTGCCCCTGTACCGCTTGCTTTAGAATTAAAAACAATTTTTTTTAGCTTGAAAATAGTTACCCAAAATGAGTATTAATATTTTGACATTTTATAAAGTATCAGTGAAATCCCTTTTTTACAGTATAGTTTTAGAGATATTTCCTGGAAAAATTTTAGTCATTATACTATGCTTTAACAAAATAGCCATACATATACATTATCTATAAACTCAGAGAATTCGTAGTAACTGAAGAGAAATGAATATACATTTAAGCATGCATTAATAAATCAGATAAAGAGCTAGAACCAGGAGATAGTTTTTAAAATTTCAAAATTATGTAAAATTGTGAAAATGAAATGGCGTTTAAAAATTAGAAAAAAAAAAACCACTAAGAACTTTAAAATAACAACCTTCAGTTACTTTTACTTAAATTAATTCCATGAATATCTAGCTATACATTCTATGCATTTTATTTCAACACAAATCTTTTTCTCACCTCCAGAACGGGGTTTCAGTATTAAATCCATGACTTCTGTCCAGGCATTCTGTAGAATAGCTCTAGAATTAAACAGGATTTACTGGCTTATCTGTGCATAAGATAAGCTTTAAATGCTCAGTTGTTAAGACTGTAACAAGAAACACTTATTAGCTCATTCAATTTATTTATTTATTTATTTATTTATTTATTTATTTATTTATTTATTTATGGTTTTTCGAGACAGGGTTTCTCTGTGGCTTTAGAGCCTGTCCTGGAACTAGCTCTGTAGACCAGGCTGGTCTCGAACTCAGAGATCCGCCTGCCTCTGCCTCCCAAATGCTGGGATTAAAAGCGTGCGCCACCATCGCCCGGCCTAGCTCATTCAATTTAAAAGCACGTAGGAAAATGATGACACAGACTTTAGTGACCATCGTCTACCATAAAAGGCTTCTCTGGGGCTGGAAGGAGGGCCCACTTATCAAGAGTGCTTACTGCTCCTGCAGAGGGCTTGAGTTTGGTTCCCAGCACCCACATCCAGCAGCTCACAGCTGCCTGGACTCCAATGGGTCTGCTGCCCTCCCTATATTCAGCACACACAAACCCACACAGGACAAACTCTGCAGAAGACCTGGATTCAGTATCTGAATGCCCGGCCATACACGGGACAACTATTTCATCTCCTCCAAAGAGCAGGGAGCACCCAATGAGGAGTGGGAAGAATGTAAAAGTAGGAGGCAGGGCTGAGGAGAGAGCTGACATCTGAGCAGCAGCTGGGACTGCTCACACATGGTTCCCACAAAATGGAGTGGGGTCATGCACGTTCAGCGAGGAGTGGCCCATGCTTCTGTAAACAACTCTAATGCAGCTCAATGGGACACAGCTGGGATACACGTAAGTAAATGTGGAGAAAGCTGGGAAAGAGCAGGTGATGAGAGGAGGGAGGGAGGGAGGGAGGGAGGGAGGGAGGGAGGGAGGGAGGGAGGGAGAGGGCGTGTGTGGGGAGAATATGAATGAATAGGTACACATACGAAAATAATGAAACCAACTGGAGTATGTAATTAATACATGCCAAGAAAAAAACATTTAAAGCTCCAGTTGTCCTTTTGCTATGGGGTGGAAGAGTTTTTCATTTATTGTCTTGATATATTCTGGATTTATCTTCTGTTTGAGACCTGGCATTTCCCCTTAGGAAATCCTATGGTGATACTGTAAGTCCTATGAAGGCAGAAAACAGTCTGATGCTGTGAAAACTGTTTGGAACTAAGTTGGGCACATCACACAACTTCTGTTTCTGGGTAAATCTAACAGCATTTTACTAATCAATTATTTGTACTAATTTTCTTTGGGATACAAAACTATAGGGTCATATGGCTGGGCTTCTGCTTTACCTAAGAATGCATAGACTGATACAACCCTTCCTTAAATTATCTGTAGTATGCGTATCTGTATTTTCTATTAGTTATTATAGTGGCTTTTCCTGAAACTAGCTCTAGTAGACCAGGCTGTCCTCAAACACACAGAGATTCACCTGCCTCTGCCTCCCGAGTGCTGGGATTAAAGGCATGCGCCGCCACCACCACCTGGCTGGCCAAGCTCAAAGTTGTTGATAACAGGTAGGCTACAAGACGAGCTATCCTGACCTAGGATGTGGTTATCTGGTGTTTTGGACCTGGTCCATAGAGATAGAGCTGGTCCATCCTGACCAAAGTTCAGAGAAGTCCAGAATCTTCTGCTCCTTCTTCTGAAATAGGAGGTTTGTCTTAGGGAGTGGCTGATTGCAGGATACTTGGTCTAGGGTGTGCTCACTGTCCCAAACATCAAATACTTTTCTCAGGAAATAATGGCTTGAAGTCTCAAGTATTGAAACAAGTAACTGTACTGGTTGTCCTTTGTGTTCTGTTAGAGCAGCCTTCCCTTTTGTACTGGGTATAAAAGTGCATGGAAGATAAATGTGGGGGAAAATTTAGCACTCAGTATTTGCCAAATTGTCACTATCCTGTGTCTGTTTCTGCTGTACCTCTGGTCTTTCTATCTAACATTTCTAACCCTCACGCCCCTAACCTGGAACGTAGAAGTCACCCAAAAGGTGGCATATGACTCTGAGCCACATTCTAGTCCTTCCACTTGCTACTCTTGTTCTGAATTAGCAGATAGATCATTCTATGCTGCCCAGGCTTGTCTGGCCTTTCACAGTCCTAATCGGCTGCCCAGGTAGCTGTCCTGGACTTCACTGTGCCTGTCTGGCCTTAATTTAGAGAGATTTCTATTTATTAATGACTTAGCACATTTTAAGCCTAGAAACAGGTGCTGCATAAACACCATCTGCATTCCCAGCCTTCCATGGAGTTGACATTATTTCTACTTCACAGGGGAGCAGTCTGAGGCTCAGAACTCAGTCCTCACTTTACAGCACTGCCCGAGAGGGAAAAAGGAGCTGCTGCACAGGAGACCAATCCCTTGACCTTTGTAAAATCATATAAGCAGATACAACTTGATACTGAAAAACTGGACAATACGCTGAAACAGAATGAAGAACAAATGTTCTCAGAGAGCCTTCAGTTTGTAGCCCGTATCACTCTAAATCCTGTACGAATAGTTAGTTACTTTACGTAGCAGTCTCTGCTGGACAGCAGGATTCTCACAGTATGTTTATGAAACCAAGTAGTATTTATCGATGAGACTTCTATTCTAGTTTACTCTGGAGAGCATGCCTTGGGTCTGGGTACTCTGGGCCTGTGTTACCCTTACCCGGCTTTTTACACTTGGCCTCTTCCCTGCTGAAAAGTAAAAGAGAACCCAGGTGTGGTGGCACACACCTTTATTCTTGGCATTCAGGAGGCAGAGGCAGGCTGATCTCTGAGTTTGAGGTCAGCCTGGTATACAGAGTTGTAAGGGTCTGTCCTGTCCGTTTAAGAGAAAAGCCGGGCCCACTCAGCCCCCTACCCCCCACCCCAGTCTGCTGAGGCAAGATCTTCTACATCCAGGCTGAGTTCCTTCCTTTCTGTCTCTCTCCCAAAGAGGTAGTTGCTGCTGTGGTTCCTCTCTTCCACCCTATTTCTCTCTCTCTCTCTCTCTCTCTCTCTCTCTCTCTCTCTCTCTCTCTCCCTCCCTCCCTCCCTCCCTCCGCACTTCCTTCCCCTCCCCCCTTTTCCCTTCATAATCCACTAAATAAATATCCAACCTCACTCTGCATGGCATGCCTCTCCGTCTGTCTCTCATCCTCTCGTGGGACTGGCTGCCCCCTGAGGTCTCTCACCTGCCGCGCGAGGCTCCCTGCCTGGGATCTGTTGCCCCTCGGGGAACAGTGACATTTTACTTTTACCATTACACAGAGTGAGTTCTAGGACAGACAGGATTACACCGAGAAACCCTGTTTCAAAAAACAAAAAACACCAAAAAGAAAAACAAACAAACTAAAGTAAAAGAGACCCCTTGAAAGGGCGGTGAAGAATGGTAGGAAAAACTATTTAGTCACAGCTTCAACTGTGCACATGCATGTGCCATATATGTGCCTCTAGAAGCCAGATACCCTCCTCATTGGCTCTCTCGCTGATAGGCTAGTCTTTTTTTTTTTTTTTTTAAATATTTATTTATTATGTATACAACAGTCTGTCTGCAGGCCAGAAGAGGGCACCAGACCCCATTACAGAAGGTTGTGAGCCACCATGTGGTTGCTGGGAATTGAACTCAGGACCTTTGGAAGAGCAGGCAATGCTCTTAACCACTGAGCCATCTCTCCAGCCCGATAGGCTAGTCTTGTTGGCTAGAGAGAGTAAGGGATCTGCTGGTCTCCACCTTCCCAACACTGGGGTTATAGATGTGCCCTACCACACTCAGCTTTTGAGTAGCAGTGGGATCTGAACCTAGGACCTTATGCTTGTGTAGCAAGCGATTTACTGAGCTGTCTCTCCAGACCTCTTTTTCTTTTTTAGAAAACATACTGTTGCATGCATTAACTGAAATAAAATAAATCTTACAAAGAACTTATGGATCAGTAGTTCATTTGTCCTAAACATGACAGAATCCTAAAATAATCAACACACCATTAACAAAAATTTTACTTCTCTGTTATGTGAGAATAAATAAAAATATCCTTTAGATAGAAATTACAAAATTAAATACAAACTTTTTGACCAACGAAAACTTTTTGAGTCTTCTTTTAGATAAAAAAAGAACTCAAAAGTCAGAGTCAGGTCACTCTCTGTAAGCTCAAGTCCAGCCTAGTCTACACAGTGAGTTCTAGAATAGCCAAAGCTACATAGTGAGACAACGTCTCAAAAAACCAAGACAACAAAACTCCCAAAAATAAAAAGCTAAAAGTTAGAAATCAACTACTTACCTTCCAACTTGGTACGTAGGGACAGCTGTGGTCCCAAACCTTTGCATACCATAGTAGTTAATGAAGCCGGTCTCCTTCAGAGATTGCATGGCTTGCTGTACTTGCTCTTCAGTTCCTGTTATATTCCTGCAGAGTCCCAAATTGACCAGAGGAAAAAAATGGTCAGTAATCTCATTTTATGATGCATACCATAACACTGGCTTCTATATCTCACCTCTGCAACCTTTTCTAACTTTCTGAGGACTTTGCTGGTTTATTATTTTAATCAAGTTTATTATTTTAATCAGGATCTTTCTGTCCTGGAACTTGTGTTATAGGTCAGACTGGCCTTGAACTCACTAAGACTCCCCTGCCTCTGTCCTTTAACCCTCAGTGCTGGGATAAATGACATGAACCACCAATGCCCATCTCATTTTAAGTGCAAATTATTATCAGATGAAGCACTGTGCACCACCTATATAGTTACCAAAATTGTTCACTGCCCACAAATGGAATTTACTTATTTATTTTGCAAGTCCTTCTATATAGGCCCTGGCCAGCCTGCAAACCACAGAGACCAAACCAGATTGACCTTGAAGGAGTCGTGTGATCCCCTGCCTTTGCCTACTGAGATTACAGGCAAGTACAACTATGCCTGCTCCCAAACTGAAACTTATACCAACAAATAACTCTGTTAAAGTAGCCTGATCTTTCTATGAATATGCCCATTCTAGGCACCTCAAACGGATTAATTCACAGGCTCTTTATCTTTCAAAACTGGATCTGAAGAACAGTGTTTCCGATGGCTGTAAGAATCTTTGGAGGGAGGAACAAAGACCAATTATCAAGAGAAACACTATACAGTATTTGTTCCTCACTTCTACAGTCCTTGTTCTCCCAACCAGCAGCCCTCTCTCTGTACCAGCGATCCTGTACCCTATCAACACACATAGAAACAGACCACGGAGACCCAGCCAGCCAGGTCTGCACTCCTACCTGCGTACTTTACCTGAGAACAACAGTGAAGTGATTTCCTTGAAGCTCTCCCAATTTCAGAGGGGTTTTCTGATAGCTGAAATTCCCTAGCTTAAAGTTCATCAAGCATTTGTTCAGATGGGCGAGTCTTTGTGCACTTATCCTTCACAGAAAAAAAGGAGCAGAGAAAGGATCATGAGATCCTGCAGAAGGCATTAGGTGCACTTTTCCTTCCCCCTTGCATTTGTCTTATGGGTACCAGTACTATAATGAAGAGACTTCAACACCAGTGGGAACACAGAAGTAAGAGATGTAGAGGATTCTACTTTCTGTGGGCAGGAGGTAACAAAGGGGACGATAGCAAACAGCAATCCCACAGAACTGTGAAGAGTGGGTTCTAACTTTAAAAAAGGTTTAGCCATAATTGGTCCAGTAAGAAAGAGTATTATAAACTCATAACCAAAAGACAACCTTGGAAAACACAAAAACACCGAGAAGAAGGAAAATCCATTGGTTCATCCCTTGAAAAAGCATTAGATTTTTGCATTTCCTCATCCTTTCAGAACATATTGAAGATGTACATTGCTACAATCATACAAAAATGTATCCTCCTATCATTTTACAGAAGTGTTCCCATGCTGTTAAATTGTTTCATTAGAAAGTCTTTATCTTCCTCAACAGAAAATCTACACAGAACAGCAAATACCACACTGAAAAGTCTTTGTTCTTTCTTTATCTCTACAACTCTCCTGACGTGCAGCACTTTCTTTTAAATATTTTTATTTATTTTTAATTTTTCATTTTGTATTTATTTATTATTTTTTGAGACAGGGTGTCTCTGTAGCTTTGGAGCCTACCCTGGAACTTGCTCTGTAGACCAGGCTGGTCTCAAATGCACAGATCCACCTTTCTCTGCCCCCTGGGTGCTGAGATTAAAGGTGTGCGTCACTATTGCCTGGCTTATTTAGTTTACTTTTAATTAAGTGTATGTGTGCGTTTGTCTGTGTAAATAAGTACGGGTACTCCTGGAGGCAAGAGTCACCGGATCCCCTGGAGTCAGAGTTCCAGGAGGTCATAAATCACCCAAAGCTCAGGTCCTCTGCAAGAACAGCACACACTCTTTACTGCTGAACAAACTCTCTTGCCTCCTGGCCTGGAAAAGTTTTGAAATAAGATTAAGATAGTTATAAACTGTCATGTGGGTGCTGGGAATTGAACCACGGTCCTTCGGAAGAGCAGCCAGTGCTCTTAACCACTGAACTTCCTCTTCAATCCAGCACACGCTCATAAATAAAGCTTGCCTGAAGATCAGAATGAAAAGCAGCCACATTGGTCAGCCATACATGCCAGGCAGTGGTGGCACACACCTTTAACCACAGCAGTTATGCTAGTCAGCCATACAGGCAAGGTGGTGGTGGTGCATGCCTCTCATCCCAGCACTAGAGAGGAGACAGGTCTCACTCTCAGTCTCAGTCTGAGGATTCATGGAGGCAGGATCACTTATTCTGATCAAAGGAAGAGGTAAGAGCTAGTTATTGGCCGCTTTGCTTTCTGATCTTCAGCTTGAACTTCAATATCTGACTCTGGTTTTTTATTATTCATGCTACACTTGCTGTTCTTACGGATGACTAGGCTTTGATTCCTAGTACCCACTGGTGGTTTATAACCATCTGCTCTCTTATGACAGCCACAGGCACCAAGCCTGCATATGGTGCACACGTACGCAAAATATTCATACATAAAATAAGATGAATCTAAAAACAACAAAACAAAACACACACACAGACACACATACCACCCAAATCCCATAAGGGCTATAAAGAGGCCATCTTCAGCTATATAGCCAGCCTGTACAGGTTAGCCAAGGTTACATAGTGAGACCCCGAAGAGCTGGAGAGATGGTTCAGGTTAAAAGCACCTGCAGCTTTTCCAGAGATTCTGAGTTCAATTCCCAGCAACTACATGGTTGCTCACAACCATCTATAATGAGATCTGGTGTCTTCTTCTGGCCTGCAGGTATATTTGCAGAGCACTCTTACATAAAATATAAATTAAAAAAAAAATAGTGAGACCCTACCTAAAGACAACCAACCAACACATCAAACAAACAAAAAACAAAAAACAAAAAAAAAATAAAAATAAAAACAACCTTTTAAAGTCCAAGGTACAATATAAAGTTCAATTTCCAGCAACCACATGGTGGCTCACAACCATCTATAAGACCTGGTGCCTACTTCTGGCCTGCAGGCATACATGCAGACAGAACACTGTACCATATAGCATATCACAGTGCCTACGAATATAGTTTTAATTTTTCCTATGTCCATATTTCCTTTAAAAAGACAGTTACTTTGTCATGTAACAGAGGCAAGGGGCTGAGTTTGGCCTGAGTCTCCCAGTGGCTTCCAGTATATTCATGTTTTGTGTACATACAGTATATGTATGTGTGTGTCTATTTGTATATTTATGTCTATGAATATGGGACTGGGGGAGGTCTGGGTGTGGACCTCAGCAACTGAGTTCTACCCCAAAGTTTCAAGTCATCAAACTGTTCCATAGGCCTCTCAAGTTCTAACACATGGGGAAAAGTAATGGTGCACTCTTGCTCTACAGACACACACACACACCCCTGCATATACACAAAGTGAAGCTATGCAAATTAGAATTCACGTATATAGGGCAGAGACATGGCTCAGCAATTAAGAGCAGTACCCACACTGCGCTGCTAACAAGTAGCTGCACCTCTAGCTCTAGGGGATCTGACGGCCTCTTCTGGCCTCTGAAGGTGCCCCACAAAGAGTGTACACACAATTAAAAATAAAACTTTCTCCTCATGCTAGAGAGATGGCTCAATTGTTAAGAACTGTTTGGCATTCTTAACCATTGCTGAGGGCCAGAGGACTCAAATTTGATTCTCAGCACCCTCATCATGGCTCACAACCACCCCTAACCTCCATTGCAAAAGATCTGACCACCTCTTCTGACTTCCAAGGGCACTATATACAGGGCCCATATACAGAAGCTGCAAAAACATTCATACACATAAAAATAAAACACAGCTTAAAAATCACCTATATAATATCTGAGCTCCTGGAATTCTTTTTATTTCAGTGTTGGGAATTGAGTTTATGGCTTCATACATGCCAGGCAGGCATTCCCCCCTTAAGCTCTTTGGGAAGGCAGAATATTATATAATAAATAAATAAATATTAAAAAAAAAAAAAGACAGGAGCAAAAGAGAATCAAGCTCCTGGCTGTCCTAGCAACCTCTGGAGACTGCTTCTAGCTAATGCCAGGAAAGTGTCTCCCCCCTCCCCCCATCTCTCTGCCTCTCAACACAGTGTCTCACTATGTAGCCCTGCTGGTCTGGCACTCACTATGTAGATCAGGTTGGACTTAGGTATCTGCTTGTCTCTGCCTCTCAAGTGTGCGTGCATGTATGTGTGTTGGGGGAGAGGGGAAGGAATAAAGGTGAGTGCCAAGCCTTGTCCTTCTTTAAAAACATAAAATTCACCATTTTGGGGGGGGGAGCTAGAGAGATGGATCAGTGGTTAAGAGCACTGGTTGCTTCTTCCAGAAGACTTGGGTTCAATTCCCAGCACCCACATGGCAGTTTACAACTGTCTATAACTCCTGTTTCAAGGGATCCAACACCCTCAGTCAGGCAATCCAACATACATAAGAATATATAAAAATCACTTTTTTCAAAAAAAAGAGAAAAAATCACCATTTTATTTGTTTTCAGGGTTTTTAGTGTACACTCACAACGTGAGCAGTGTATCATCTCATCACCATGGTCACCCTCATCCACTCAGCCCTGACTCCGTGTCCTCTGGCCTTCCCTGCAGCCCCTGTAGTTGTTAATGTACTTTTATCTACAGATTTTCCCATGTTGAACATTTCATGTGAACAAAAATCAAATAGTGATTTTTTTTTAATGGCCAACTACTTGGTGTAATTTTCTTCCTCCCTCTCTCCATCTTTTTTTTATTAAATATTTATTTATTTATTATGTACACAATACTCTGTCTGCGTGTATGCCCGACAGCCAGAAGAGGGCGCCAGACCTCCTCACAGATGGTTGTGAGCCACCATGTGGTTGCCGGGAATTGAACTCAGGACCTTTGGAAGAGCAGGCAATGCTCTTAACCACTGAGCCATCTCTCCAGCCCCCTCTCTCCATCTTTTAAAAAATATTTATTTATTATGTATACAATATATTCTTTCTGCATTATGCCTGCAGGCCAGAAGAGGGCACCAGACCTCATTACAGATGGTTGTGAACCACCATGTAGTTGCTGGGAATTGAACTCAGAACCTTTGGAAGAGCAGGCAATGCTCTTAACCTGAGCCATGTCTCCAGCCCTCCCTTCATTTTTTAAATGTCAGGGTCCCCCTGTATACAGGCTGGCTTCAAACTTGCTATTCTCCTGCTTCACTCTATAGAGTGTTAGGATTAATGGACTCTGCCAACATGCCCAACAATGCAAAACTCTTACGGCTTATTATGCTATAAGATATACTGGTATCTCACTCCTTTTATATTGAATAATATTCTCTTCCCTCAGTATACAATGGACAGTCATTTCTGCATCCATCCAGCAGCAAAAGTACAGAGCTACTATTAGTTCTTGAAGGTGAAGGTGCGTATTGACAATACTGCTCACCAATTTTAATGACTAAAGATCAAGTATTTTTGGTTGTAAATTCACATGTGACAATCTTGTTTTTAAGCAATAAGGGTCAACGAACACCTGCTACACAGAAGCCTTTAAAAACAAAGCCAGAGCCGGGCAATGGTGGTGCACACCTTTAATCCCAGTACTCGGGAGGCAGAGGCAGGCGGATCTCTGCGAGTTCGAGTTCGAGGCCAGCCTGGTCTACAGAGCTAGTTCCAGGACAGGCTCCAAAGCCACAGAGAAACCCTGTCTCGAAAAACCAAAAAAAAAAAAAAAAAAAAAACCCCACAAAGCCAGAGAAATATTGGCCCAAGCTCAGACAGGAGACTGGCACCAACAGGCAGGAAAAGAAACAAGTCTGAATAAGACAGTTGGAGATCCTGTTTGAAATTACCCAGTATTTCAGAGTTGCAAGAAAGTGGACAGAAATGCTGCTTATCCCAGGACTGATCAACGCAGCAATAATTAAAATCTCTGTGTGGCAGAATGGGTTTTTCTTATTCACCAGTTCTCGTGGGAAAGGCCAATCTGAGTACCACACAGATCCATTGAGCAAACGCAGGGTGTAGCCTGTATCCGCGAGATAAGTGCAAAGTGCTTTCAAAAGGGCAGCATTTAGAAGGCCTGCTGAGATTCCTGAAAGTCAACAGGAAAACGGGAAAAAAAAAAAAAAAAAAAAAGTCTATGAGGGTAGACCAGTAACCTGATCAAGTCTGACACCTGCTGGCTGGTAAAATGCCTGTTTTTAAACCTCAAATTAGCATCCTCACCCAGTTCCAACCAAAGCAACACCTTCACACACACACACACACACACACACACACACACACACACACACACACACGATGGAGAGGGGCCACTGCCTCAGGCCACAGAAGAGGACTGGAATACAAACAAGCAGCTGTAACACGGACCTCAACATAAACTATGGAGTCCTCAGGATCTGGATCCTGCCCTCTCTCAGCCACCCTCTTCCCTTGCCTTCCTTAGCCCTTTCTCCTTTCCTTCCTCTCCTCCTTCCTCCAGTCTTAATCTACTTTTATTTTGTTTTTCCTCTTACTCTCCTTTTAAGTTTAGCATATAAAGTGAATATGTTTCCTTATGTCATTTTCTTACATATATGTTGTTTTATCTTGTTTTATCATTTATCCTTCCCGCCTTCTCTACTGCCCAGTTCTTGCTGATTCCAAACATTCTCAGAAACAGTCCCCACCTCTTACCACACATGTTCCTTTTCAATCCCTTTTCTCTCTCTTCCCTCTTGAGGTCTTTTCTTCCCCTCCCATGACACCCCCACACCAATACACTTAAAACCAAGAATCCACATATGGGGTGTGGGGTGTAATATTTGGCTTTCGGAGTCTTAGGGATTTTGCATAACCTAATGTTCTGCAATATCTATTTACTGAAAAAATAACAAATGCCCCAGAAAATTTGTCTTTCTTATGTGGATGCTATGATAGCTCTTCTGTATGATTCCAATTTTAGCATATAAGCCATTGAAATGAGTACATAGAAAGCTTTATTTCTTGCTACATGTCCACAAAACTGCTTACCAGGTAGTAAATGTGTTGTGTTTTGTAAGTCCTTCTAATATCTTCATAAGCTATTTTATTGGCTTGGAAATAACAACCTCCATGCCCCAAGAATCATCTCATCCTTCTAGAAGCAAGACCACTCTTAGTTCTCTACCAGAGGCACCACTGCCCCCTGTAGGGCATCTTTGACAAGTCTGGAGATGGCTTTAATTTTCACAATCATGTGCTTGCTGTACAGAAAGGACAGAGATCAGGGAGGCTAGTAAATATCTTATAATGAATAGGGCCAGTTACCACAACAGAGACAGTTGAAAAGGCACATAGCATAGAGATGAGATGCCTTTATTTAAATTAAAACCACAGCATCCCATCCCGTCAACTGTGCAAACTTTCCCTGGCTGTCCTTCATAGTCCCAGGTCTGCAAGCAAGACTAAGGCATACCCTAGTTCAACTCTCATCCCACTCTAGGAGGGTTCTACTTATTTTCTGTCCTATAACTTTTTTAAAAGTAGAGACCCTTTTCATCTGCATGTCTGTTACAAACAAAATATATTATTCACTGTTTTGTAATATTTAATAAACAAGAAAGAAAGGTGCACTGTGTGTGTGTGCGGGGGGGGGGGGGGGGGGGGGGGGGGGGGGGGGGGGGGGGGGGGGGGGGAGGGATATTTGTCCAGGCACAAAGGGCCTTGCTGGCTTAAACCAGACTAAACTGACTATCTGAGCATGCAGTATGTAACTTCCCTAAATTAAGCCAACCTAGGTCTGCCAACGGGCCCCAGCAACAGCTGCTGTGCCACGAGACAAGACGGCCCGAACCAGTCTCCTGATACCAGTGCTGCTGCTTCCCCTCCCTCAGGGGGTGGGGGGCACAGAAGGTTTTCCCTTTTCTAAAATAAACTGTCTCCCAGAGACGGAGCCATTGACAACCCCCACCCGTCCCCTTCCCCAAGGGGAAGTTCAGTGGGACAAAGCAGCAGATAAAAGCAACAGTGCACTTATTATCTCTCTCTTTTAATGTGCACTGGTGTTTTGCTTGCATATGTCTGTGTGAGGATACCAGGTGCCCTAGAACCAGAGTTACAGACAACTGTGAGCTGTCTTGTGGGTGCTGGGAATTGAACCCAGGTCTTCTGGAAGAGAAGCCAGTGCTTTTAACCACTGAGCAATCTCTCCAACCCCAGTTCACCTATTCTTTTGGCTGTATCACCAACAGCTTTGTAAAATTACTCAGAAAATATATATTTGATAAGATTAGGAAGCAGAGATTCAGGGTGAAAAAAAATGAAGTAGAAAAACACTACAAAAAAGCAAAGCAGGGCTGGCAAGATGACTCAGCAGATAGAGGCATCTGCTACCAACCAGGGTTCAGCCCAAGGGTCCACAGTGTAGCAGAGAACTTACTGTCTCCAGATGGCCTTGACCTCAACAAATGTGCTACAGTGTGTGTTTACATATGCACACAATATAATAAACAGATAAATAAATGCAATAAAAAACATCTAAAACGTTTGTAAAAGGCAGAGATATCATATAAAGTTGAAAGTGGTCAATTTCATAAAGCAAGCCCGAGGCCTCTGAAGGGAGTGAGTGCTAGGACCTCTGCAGAGCCAATCTTGGGGAACTCTACTTACTTGAGGACAGCAATCTCCTGGACTGTGATGGCTCTTTTGTCTTTGGTTCCCATATAGGAGAAAATGTTTGGTTTCACTCTGGTGAGACAGAATCAAAGCATTCCTAAGTTACATGTTAACCAAAGCACATTTCTAATAACTTATTTCAAAATACACTTACTAACATACTAAGAGAATAAGGAGAAACTTTAGTAAAGATTTTATTGAGAAAAATTTAAATAAATATGCAAATTAAAGCAGCAACAGCTGCCTTCTTAGCAGGGCTTGATTCCCAGCCTTCCTGGCTGTCAGGGAATCACCTGGCTTTCAGACTTGGCTAAAAAGTAACAAAAACGAAAGTCCATAGTCAGAAACAATTTGTTAAGTTGCATAAAACTGTAACAATAAAGGGGAAAATATTCCAGAGATATTTTGTAGCACTCTGAACATTTTATATCTTCAGTTTTCAAGAAGTTACAGTAATGTGATTTTTTTTTTTACCTTAAATATAATCTACAACTCTGTATTTAAAAAAAAAAAAAGCCAAATGCTAAAACAGGAATCTGGATAGTTCCTTCCCCCAACCCCCTCGTCTGTCTGTGTGTTTCAAGACAGAGTTTCTCTGTGTGGCCCTGGATGTTCCAGAACTCCCTTTGTAGACTAGGCTGGTCTCAAACTCATAGAGATCCACCTGCCTCTGCCTCCTGAGCGCTGGGATTAAAGGAGTGGCTAGATAGTTCTGATATGGAGATATACAAAATTCTACAGAGGAATATTTGCATACTCCCAGAAATCCCAACTGTACATCCTAGAGGAACCGTTTCCTCCTGTCTACATCCTTAGGAGGGCCGTCTATGCTCCTGAAAATGGAACAAGAAACCACATACTTTTTTTAGGAAGCTAATAAAAAAAGTGAAATGTTATTTAATTAGGTGTGGTATTCAGGGCTGACCAGTGTTCTCTTCAAACTCCTAGGCAGAAGCCTTGACTCCCAGCATCACATAAGATAACATTTGGAAACAAGGCTTTTAAAGAGATGACCAGGATAGAATGTGGCTTATCAGATGGACTCTTCACAGGGAGTTCCAGGACAGACAGGGGTAGAGACCCTGTCTGAAAAACAAACAAAAAGAAAGAAAAAGAAAACAAAAACAAAAGAAAATAAACTACATATTCTGATCTTGGAACTTCCCGGTTACAGAACTGGGAGAGAATTATTACTAAGTTGTGCTACGTAAGCCACTTAGTGGTTACTTTGTTTGGCTAATCTGAAAACACATTTGCTATATAGAAATGTTTAACCTGAGTTAAATTTTCATAGAATACAAATTTGCTGTGGTATCTACAGACATTTCTTTTCAAAATATTTTCTTCTGTATGAGGGTTTGCCTGCACACATTTAATGTGTACCACAAGCATGCTTGGTGCCCCTGGAGATCAGAGAAAGGTGTCGGGTTCCTTGGAACTAGAGGTATAGATGGTTATAGGCCATGATGTGGGTGCTGGGAATTAAACCGGATGCTATTGAAAAGCAGCCAGTGGTCTTAACAGCTGAGCCATCCCTTCACTTCTTCTAAAACCACAAACACAAAGAATCATAGCACCTCACCTAGCCTCCACACCTGTGATCTCTGCTGGATTTTCATCCCTTTCCCTGACTGTGCTAGGAACTCTTAATTGTATGTGAATTATTTACTTCCAGAACTTTTATCTTGAATTATTAGCAAAGGGATAAAAAGTTTATTGATCTATTTCCCAACAAACATTCCCATTATGAAGTACTTTTGGCATTTACTGATCTTTTCCCACTGGCATTGAAAGAGAGAACACATTCCTATTTTACTGATTTTGTGTAAGAACAAGAATGAGACACTAACCGTAAATATTTGGACAATACATTGATGGCATCCATGGTGTCTTTGTTTTCCTTGTATAGAACAAAGTGGCAGTAGCTTCCCCGAGATTTTGGCCAAGAATGTTTTCTTGGATCTTAAAAACAAAAACCTTAAATGTCATATATTTCATAATAATTTTTTTTAAAAAAATGAACTCTATGGAGATCACTTTATGCTACAGAACCGTACAATAGTCAATCAGATGTACCCTGACACAAAGCATAACTAGCCGTATGAACTATACATACTAGGCTTTCTGTCAGACAGTATCTGTCTGCATCAATCAGACGTACCCTGACGTCATAAAGCATAACTAGCCGTATGAACTATACATACTAGGCTTTCTGTAACTAGTCGGACAGTATCTGTCTGCATCAATCAGATGTACCCTGACGTCATAAAGCATAACTAGCCGTATGAACTATACATACTAGGCTTTCTGTAACTAGTCGGGCAGTATCTGTCTACATTTAAAATGAGAAGTGAGGTGTAAGTGCCATGGAAAGTGAGCGGGAGTCAGCAGTCAACGTCTCACAGCTGATACATAGAACCCACAGGGCTCTGCGGATTCCTGGGTCAGCACACATCAGAACCAAGGGGCCCTGTATCTTCTTCATTCGAGAGGAAAAAACTTTACGATAGACCCTATTATTCCTGCTTCACCGCAAAGAATTCACACATGGTAGCACAGATGGAGACAGGGTTTATAAGGGCTTGTTTTAGTGACTTTGTAACTTTTCCAAAGGCCATTTCTAGCACAAAAGTTTAGTCAATATCTACAACGATATCTACACAAGAGAGTAGCTGGCATTTAAAGCCTGACTCTTACAGTGTCAGTGTATGTAAAAACGTAAGCCATGTTAAATGGTACCTTCTGAGTCAGTGTAGCATGACTGCCCAGTTCTTTGGGGATCTATAACCTGGATACCCTGATTGCTAAAACTGTTCTTTTAATTGAATATTTCAATTATATAATCTGGAAACACATTTTAAACAATACAAGATTTAGATGTAAACTTCTGAGTAAAGAAATCAGGACTCTGGAAAAAATAAGCTACAAGTACAGTCTGCAGATACAGAAAGTTCATGAGTCCTATATAACAGGTGAGCTAGTTTTCAAGGAACTCGTCTAGTTTCATTGATATAAGCACTCCATGAGAGAAAACCTATGAGAAAGTATTTTGCATAACCAACTAGAAAGAATCCTCTTGCTTTAAAAATTGTCCTTAAAAAGTCTTTTCATACAAACTTAGGAATCTTCCTGGGACTGAAGGTAACTGACTATCTGGCTTTGTCAAGCAGAAGCACTTTTTGATAACAGGTTAATGGCTTCATCTACAATGTAAAAACCACCAAGCAACGTAGAGAACCAGTAACCCATTTCGGAAAACCATCACAATATAAACATGCCTACAAAGTCAGTTTCTTTCTTGATGAATATGTGAGTCTTTTCTGTCATGTATAAAAAAATATTAGAAGTATCTCCTTAGTTCTTGGTGTGACAATTTCACAATTTCCTTAGGGTTATGAATGAAATATCTTTTTCTCGTTTTTTTCCTTCCAGTTCACTCCCACTTAAGCAAAGTTATCTGTACTCAGTACTTAGGACAACATTGGTATTTCACCTTGTCTACAGGAAATACCAACCGCTCTTACCTGCTGCAGTTCTGACCTCTGTCCGAAGGCGCAGCACAAAGAGCACAAGAGAGGAACGTTTAATTTACAACGCCGTCAAGGAGCTTTAGAGGTCAACATGCAAACGATCGCCTGGTAAGGGAATGCACTTGGTGCTATGTGGGGGGTCAACAGCCACTCAGACACAACAAACAGGAATCTCCCTCCCCTCTAGGCACAGCCTTCCTGACTCTGCATCTTCACAAAGGACAATTCATCCTTCAAGACTAAAATTGAAGTGTCTGCTTCAACAGATGGTTTTCAGCGAACGTTAGGACATGTTTGAAACACTGGGTGACTGCTGTGATGAGAACGTTGCTTCACGTCTCTTTTGTGTGCTTCCTGCACTGAACTGCAAAAATCTTCCACATTAGCTGGTGGGCGGGGATGGGGGGGGGGACAATGGGACTGCTCATGCCTTTAATCCCAGTACTCCCTGCACCCAGAGCTCTTGGCCAGCCTGGGCTACAGAGAGAGCTCCAGAACAAACCTCCCACCCCACCCTACACAAAAGAATCTCACAAAAAAACTGAACATTGTTGAATTATTAGTAGAGAGAACTTTCCTATAGTCACCAATTTACAGATTAAAAGATTTAAGAGATGATCTGTGAGACACTGAAGAATTTATGAGTAAAATGACATGCCATGTTAACTTATTTTAAAGTGCTCCCAAAAGGAAAAAAGTGTGTGTGGTGTGTGTGGTATAATGGCCTAAACAGAAATAAAAGAATGTCAGGTCATTTTGAAGGTGATGGACGGATACGTAGGGCTGCATTCTCTATCTAGGCACAGAATTTAAAACGTCCACAATAAGAAGCTAAAATCATCAAGTGTGACACAAGATGAAGTGTGGCTATATTTTTTAAATTCTGGTTTTTAGCATAGTCACATGTAAGTACAAAGGCAAGAAATAAATACAGCCACAAGACTAAAAACCTAAATGTTATTTTCCTTTAGCAGAAACTAGGACAAATTAGTGAGTCTGGTTTACAAGCATGCACTTTCTTACTTCTTTTTTTAAATATTTATTTATTTATTATGTATACAATATTCTGTCTGTGTGTATGCCTGAAGGCCAGAAGAGGGCACCAGACCCCATTACAGATGGTTGCGATCCACCATGTGGTTGCTGGGAATTGAACTCAGGACCTTTGGAAGAGCAGCCAGTGCTCTTAACCTCTGAGCCATCTCCCAGCCCCCAAACATGCACTTTCTATTAGGAAACCTAAGCACAGAACATGAATTCAATGACCTCTGCAACTAACAAATACAAATATTCATTTTCTAAGAATGCTCAATATAAAATATAAAAGAGTAAAACATTTGCACTAGAAATATTCTGAATAAGCAAAAGCAAAAACTCTAAAGAGCTGGGCGGTGGTGGCGCACGCCTTTAATCCCAGCACTCGGGAGGCAGAGGCAGGCGGATCTCTGTGAGTTCGAGACCAGCCTGGTCTACAGAGCTAGTTCCAGGACAGGCTCCAAAGCCACAGAGAAACCCTGTCTCTAAAAAAAAAAAAAAAAAAAAACAACAACAACAAAAAAACCTCTATAAAGAAAACTCTATAAAAACAGCCTCCGAGAACATTTAAGTTCAGGGAAGTAAGGATGACTTCCACACATTTTTGAGTCACTCCAATTTATAATACATTCGCAAAGAATTCTAAGGCTGGCATTTCACTTCCTTCTTCCAGAAGGCTAGTTCTACCTTCTGAAGGCATGGCATCACAGTCCAGACCTACACAGAAGGAAATGAACTAACAAGGGAAACCATGCAGGGGCTCCCGTGAAGAAAGATGGAAGTAGCCTGAGGACGAGATGGGGTGGCGTGCAGAAATCTTTCTGCTTCCTCAAGGTCATCTTCATTAATGCGCCCCACATACCAACCTTTCAGCTTTCTCAATATCTTGCTCCATCCATTGTCTTTACTGCTGTCCTTAAATTTCCACCTTCCCCTTTCTCTGGCCCTTTCATTTCCTATATAAATACATTCATGACTCTACAATCTTCAAAGTCAAGCATGTCTTCTCCTTACTATATTTTCCCCTCTCTCTTTGCTTTACTGCTTAATTTAAAAACCACACTGTATATCTTGCCTTCTGTTTCAACTTACTGTGTAAACTGATTTCCATCTAATTAGTCCAATACCAAGCTTAATTAATAGACATTAGTGATTTTTTTTTTGTGTGTCGCTAAGTGATGGGCATATTTTCAAGTTCCTGTTTCATCAAATCTGGAGCACGTTCTCTGTGGCCTCTGGAATTTCTCCTTTTGTGTGGTCTGTCCCAGAAAGACCAGTGTCGCTCTATTCTGGGTAGGTAGAGCTCTAGGTGCAGAGACCCTGCCTGAGGACCATTTACTTCAGAAAGTACAAAGAACTTGTATATATCATAAAACAGGTTTTTTCTCCCTGGAGGCAGTAGCCCTTTTGGACTCTGCAGCTCAGGTTAGCCACAAATTCATGATTTCATCATCTCTTGAATGCTGAGATGGTACAAGTATGCTACAATGGCTGCCCAGATTTCTTTTCTTTCTTTTTTTTTTTTTAAGATTTATTTATTTATTATGTATACAACATTCTGCCTCCATGTATGCCATGAGGAGGGGGCCAGATCTCATTACAGATGGTTGTGAGCCACCATGTGGTTGCTGGGAATTAAACTCAGGACCTCCGAAAGAGCAAACAGTGAGCCATCTCTCCAGCCCCAGATTTCTTTTCTTAAGTCTGTGGTTAAGAACAAGTTCTTGAAAGCAGTTAGGATGCATATAATCTCAAAATACCAACTTATTACCTGCTTGTATAATGTCATAATAATTATATATAATTTACCAAATTGAAATAAAGCAATGTGTCATTTTTAGACTGGATTATCATATCATGTTTCACAGTAGACAGTTCTATTTGGGGAAAGCATAAAAATCCTGTAAGTCTTGGATGGGTTGTGGCGCACCCCTTTAATCCCAGCTCTTGGGAGGCAGAGCCAGGTGGATCTCTGTGAGTTCCAGGCCAGCCTGGTCTATAGAGTGAGTTTCCACAATTGCCAGGTCTAAACAGCGAGTTCCAAGATAGCCAGGGCTACAAAGAGAGGTTTTTCTTGTCCACCCCCTCCCGCCCTTCCAGAGACAGGGTTTCTCTGTGTAGCTTTGGTGCCTATCCTGGAACTAGCTCTTGTAGACCAGGCTGGCCTCTGGCACAAAGAGAGATCTTGACTTGAAAAACAAAACAAGATTGGATATGGTGGTGGACGACTATAATCCCAGCAGAAGTGGGGCCAGAAGGATCAAGAGTTCAAGGTTACTAAATAGTGAGTTTGAGACCAGCCTGGGCTACATGACACACCAAAATAAATGAATAAAAAAGGAATGCTGCAAATTTGTTTAATAATATATAATCCACAAATAACACCTTATACCAGGGTTTGGCAGTAGATGGCCTTCAAAACAAATCGCTAAGCTTTAAAGGGCCCAAGAGAACAAACTGTCATGGGCACTGGGCTCCACTCTCAGGGCCATGAATCAGTCTCCAGACACCTGTTCTCCCTGAGCTCTTGGTGACTTTCCTTTAGGCCACTTTCAGCTTGGGCAGGAAAACTGCATGAGAAAAGGTTGAATGCAGACTCCCAAGTGACCATCTCAGCTAGAGAAGGGAGATTCAATCCAACTCTGAGATACTACTTTACATAGAAGCAAACAGGAACAGTAGATCCTCCTGCCTCAGCCTCCCATTACAGGCCTGTGACACCATGCCCAGCTTTGTTTTTTTTGGTATCAACTGAGCATCCTCAGGTCTCTATCTTTTCCTCCGATTACTCAAAACTTCTCACTGATTTTTTCCAGGTGGCCAACCTGGCTTTTTTTCTTAAGCCCTTTCATTTTCCTGGGAGCATCATTACAAACATGTAATCGTCATTCATATACTACGCTCTCTATTCATTTAGGGGATATTGACAGGTCCTAATGGGTTCAAGCCTCTTACGACAACACCCTGTACTTTGAAGTAACTGACTGCTAATAGGGAGAACTCGAGACATACAGCACCAGACACTGGTAGGCGAGAAAAATCAAGAAATAACTGTTTTCTGTTTAGTTTTCATGAAAAACATATGTACTGATTTGATAAGGAAAACAAGAAATATCTAATTTTTCTTAGGGGTCTAGGCAAATAGAAATTCTCATGGTTGTATAGAACACATGAGAACTTAAACATCAAAGTGACCGACAATATGTTCACACTGACTGTACAACAGAGAACAAAAGGACTCAGATGAAGGGTCAACTTCTTAAAACCCCATGTTTTTATGTACGTGAACAAAGACACCCATGTTTGGGAAGTCGAACAGGACATATGCCCCCGGGAGGGGAGGCCAGCATTTCTGTTCATCTGAAAGGCTTCTTCTTCCTTTAAGAGCATACAGTGAGGGCTGGAGAAATGGCTCAGTGGTTAAGAGCACTGACTGCTCTTCCAGAGGTCCTGAGTTCAATTCCCAGCAACCACATGGTGGCTCGCAGCCATCTATAATGAGACCCGGCGGCCTGCAGGCACACATGGAAGGAATGCTGTACACATAATAAATAAAATAAATCTTTAAAAAAAAAAAAAAAAAGAGCATACAGTGAGCAAAAATCCCCCTACTTTCTGATTAAATTGGCAATCAGCTCACTCTGCTCTCAGGATTCTCTCGGGCACCACTGTAGTTTTTGTAAATCTGCACTCACAGACAAGACTGAAAGTCCACCAGACAGACAGTGTACAAAACTGCTCTCCATCTGAAAGGACTTTTGACCTTTTGAAGACATGACATGACCCTCTGTACAAGGGCAAGACAGCCCACAGACGTGAATAAGCAAAGCAAAGGAGGTGGGGGTGGGAGGTCCTGCCCCTCCCACTCGCCTGACGGGAGAAAGCGGGCCAATGTCATGCTTACTTGCCAAAGCCTTTTTGCCAGCTGCATGGTAAGCTACGATGTATTTCCTTCCTTCTCTATCCTCTGTTTTTGTCTCCAATCCTGGGAAGAGAGATTTAATAGCTTGATGGATGACGGTTCTTTTTTCTTTGGTGTCCTCAATGACCTGTGGAAAACAGAAGACAGGTAACACTCTAACAAGCATCAATAGGAAAATAACATGAGGACATGGCTCATTCTATCAACTATGCAAAAGTCAACAAGAACACTTGGCTATTATTTCAGAAAACACTTCGGGCTGCCTGATAATGAAGATGCCAAGGGCTTGTGGATAGTGCATCTGCAGACTCACCTTCTCCTTCACTCCCCACGAGCTCCCTGCTAACCCACCACTGTGTCATGTGGAAGTCAGAAGGAGGCTTGGGAGAGTGATAGAATGCGTTTGAAGTTACGTAATGGCAGGGTACAAGAGCTGGATTCGAAATGAAGCAGGTAGTCTCTGCAATCACCCCCAGAAGCTGCTTTTGGTGTCTCTTCCAGATAAACAGCATGGGGAAGTCACAGAACAAGATGCTGAGAGACAAGCCTTCCGGGTATCAGAAAGTTAATCCTTCTGCCAACTCAGTCCACAGCTGCCTCCTACTGGATTTTATTTTATATTAAATTATGTTATGGGGGAAAATCTAACACAATAAAGAAAATCAACATAAAGAACATTTAAACTTATCATTTAAACAACTTTTTGTCAGCTTTTGAAGTTTTTCACACCAAGAAACAGATTTTACCTCTATTCAACATCACAAAAGGCTGGATATGCCATATTTTAAAAACAAAAAAAGATTTTACAAAACACATTAATGCTATACTCAGTGAACAAGTATTTCCTAATTCAGTCTCTTAAAAATGTTGATAGTGGAGTTGGCAAAATGGCTCACTGGGTCGAGGCACTTAGCCACACAAATTTTCTCTGATGTCCACATGTGCACACACTATGAAGGTTTTTACAAGTTATAAAGGAATAAGTTAACTGGGCCACTTTCCTTACCTCTAACAGCAAGAAAAATTAAAAGCGCTGATTGTGAGACCTACGAATTTGATTTCACAGACTGATTTAGTTGTTGCAACCTAAAAGCTGAAAACATCAACACAGAGAATAGATCCTAGACCTTAGCAAAACAAAATGATATAAAAAATAAAATGACTCATAGCCATAAGTAAATGATTTCCTCACAGCACAGAGTCAAGATCAGCAATGGCTGAAAGCACCAAGTTGGAATAACAGTTTACATATATAAACAAATATTTAGACTGAAAATTTAGCCAGTTCTAGCAAGGCAGGGCATCTACTTATAATTTCAACACTGATCAGAAGTTCAAGGCTATCTGGGCTACATACATAGTGTGTTCCATGATGGTTATGAGATGGTTACCAAAGCAACAAAATTACGTCTACAGAGATGGCGCAGCAGTTAAGAGAACTTGCTGCTCTTGCAGAGGACCTGGGTGGGTTCCCAGCAACCAGTGACAGCTTATAACCATCGCTAATCCCAGTTCCAGGGGAATCTGACACTCTCTTTTGACTTCCTTGGGCACCAGCCATGCAGGTGGTACATAGACATACAGGTAGGTAGACAAGACACGTGTATACATAAAATAAATATTTAAAACCAAACCAACACCACTAAACTGAAACTACACATTTCCTCTTCATTTACTAGATAAGGTAACTTGCCTGTAATTCATGCCCTTTGAAAGGTAAAACTGGGGGCTGTAGAGATAGCTCAGCAGGTAGGAGATCTGGATGTCTGCCCAGACCTGGGTCTCATCCCCAGCACCAACATGGCAGCTCACAACTACCTGTAACTCCAGTTCCCGGAGACGGTAACCCTTCTAGCCTCCTTGTGCACCAGGCACGTATGTAGCACATGGGCATATATCATGCAGGCAAAACACCCATAAACATAAGCAAAAATAAATAAATAAAAGTTAAAACTGTGAGCCAACAGCATAGCTTTCAGAATAAGAGCTAGTTTTGCCATACGTGGGATATGTACACGGGCCTACGACACAACACTATTACACATGCAGGAAAACTTGTGCTCTATCTTTAATTGCTCTTACAGACAATTCTTTTTTTCTTTTTAAAACTGTATTTTTATTTCATGTGTGTGTGTGTTTGCCTGCAGGTATGTATTTGTAACACACGTGTGCCTGGTGCCAGAGAAGGTCAGAAGAGAGCATTGGATCCCCTGGAACTGGAATTTCAGACAGTTGTGAGCCAGTCCTGGGAACTGAACTCAGGTCCTCTGCAAGAACAAGGGGTCTTAGCTGCTGGCTGTCTCTCCAGCCTTAACTGCTGTTCTACACAATTCTTAAATTCAGATTAAAAACACAGGTAACCCCTTTCTTACTAGCTGTGGCTTGACTCTGGTAGTCACTGTTGGCCATGGCAGTATGAGGAAGGGGAAAGGGAAGACGGCACAGGAGCAGGATCCAGAAGCTGAAGAAGCCAACCAGTGGTCTGAGCTTTGAAACTACTTAGTATTCATGACAGTTTAAAAAAAATTCTAATTTTAATTTAAACGGTGTTTTGTTTTGTTTTTTTAATATGTGATGGTGCATGTCTTTAATCCTAGCACTCAGGAGTAACCTCTGCCTTGGAAGATAGAGACAGGAGGATCAAGAGTTTGAGACTAGATAGGTTATATGAGAACTTGTCTCAAATAATAAAAAAAAAATTACCAAGAACAAAATTAAACCAAACCAAATAAATTAATTAATTTGAGCAAAATAAAACCAATAAATAAATAAACATACCCCACTTTTAGGAGTTGGGATAAAGTCCAGCTGACATCAGTTAAACATTTAAAGGCTGGACATGTGATGAGTGCCCATAATCCCAGGAATTGGGAGGCTGAGGACGAGAGTTCCAGGCTATCTTAGGCCATACAGTGACAGTCTACCTCAAAACACACAAAGTCAAACCAAACAAGCTGCACAAAGGATGACTGACAGAGAAACCACAACCTATTCAAGGATTTTGTCGACAGGTGAATTGTTCAGTATTCTTCAGGAAGAGAGGGTGGGGAACGAACGTGGTGATGTTGAAGGAGGACAATGAGCTGTGAGAAGCTGGCGTGACTGAATGCGGAGGTGTGAATGAAAATGGCCCCCAGAGGCTCACAGGGAGTGGCACTATTAGGATGCGTGCGTGGCCTTGTTAGAGGAAGTGTGCCACTGGGGGTTGGCTCTGAGGTTTCAGATGCTCAAGTCAGACCAGTGTTACTCTCTCTTCCTGCTGCCTGCTGATCCAGATGTAGAACTCTCAGCTACTTCTCCAGCACCATGTCTGCCTGCATGCCACCTAGCTTCCCACCATGATGACAATGGACAAAACCTCTGAACTGTAAACTAGTCCCCAATTTAATGCTTTCTTTTGTCAGAGATGCCGTGGTCATAGTGTCTCCTCACAACAATAGAAACTCTAAGACACTAAGTGATAAAAGGAGAAATTTTAGACTATCTAAAATTTATTATGTGGTAAAGGGGTTGGGAGTGTAGCTCAGTGGTAAAATGCTAGGCTTATGCACAGAGTCCAGAGTTTGATCTCAAGCACCGTATAAATCTGGTATGGTGTCTATAATTTCAGAATTTAGGAGTTAGAGAGAGGCAGGAGGGTCTGAAGCTCAAAGCTATCCTTGACTATCCAGTGAGGTTCAGTTCCAAGCCAGCCTGGGCCAGGAGATCTTGTCTCAAAACAAAACAAAGTGAAATAGTACAATGCACAATTAGCATATATAAAGCCCTGGCTTTGTCCCCAGTACCATGTTTGGTTAACATCACAATTTCATTAGATGGACTAACGCGGAAAAATAGAACTGCCATAGGAAAGTTGAACAATGCCTTTGCTGCTCCACCTTCTCTAAATTCTCTATTTCTCAGCTAGCAGTAGATCCAGGTTGAGTATCGGCTTCCTCCCTTCTTTCCCCTGAGACTCTCCCTCTTAATCCCATCAGACTAAGAAGCCAGAAGGCCAGAGTTTCCTGCCAGGACCAGGCACCTGACCACCATGGTCCTTTGCAGCCATGGAACTATCATCCTATGGTTCTAAACAACAGCTCTCTTTGATACATTTTGGCCACAGAATTTAGAAAAACACAGCCTTGCCAGTCAGGCCTCTTCTGGCCTGCAGGCATACAGACAGAACACTGTATACATAATAAATAAATAAATAAATATTTAAAAAAAAAAAACACAAAAGCTGGGTGTGCTGGAATACACGGTAATCTCAGCATTTGCAAGATGGAGACAGGAGGAGGAAAAATCCAAGTCCAGGCTGGACCATGAGATCCTTTTATTCTTGTTTATTCAACAAGAATAAAACAAACCAAATTTTTCTTGATATATTTATCTTGAAATTGATTTTTTGCCCTGATTTATACAAAACAAAACCAAAACCTAGCAGACTGTCCTTTGAGAGCAACAGGACAAGCCATCCTTTTAAGCCCAGATAGCTGTTCTGTGGTTACTCAGGAACCCACCAGGAGGGAATCACACAAACCCTAGACCTCACTCTTTTTTTCTTTTTTCTTTTTTTTTTGGTTTTCCGAGACAAGGTTTCTCTGTGGTTTTGGAGCCTGTCCTGGGACCAGCTCTGTAGACCTCACTCTTGCACTGCTTACCTCAATGGCAACATTGGTTTCTTTATTTTTGAAAAGCTGTAGCTCCTCCAGCTGCTGTCTGTCTTCAGCTGTCAGAACAGTGAGTGCATCTTCAGGAGGGTCCTTTTACCACAGAAAGCACGTGAGTTACACAGAGACAGTACAAGTACCTTTCTAGGATCTTTAGGAAAAGCTATTGTTTACAAAAGATGGATTTTTCTAGAGAGATTTCTACCTCCTCATCCACTGGAACAGATAAGTCATCCAAATGGCTGATCCTTCCATCTTTTCCAATTTCGTGAACAACAAAGTCAGAGTATCTAGTAAAAAGAAAACCAAAGTTTTCAATAAGTGTATATTTTACTGTTTACTAATTTTAGGACAAAGTTTACTCATTCAAAACAAGAGATTTAAAGTATTAGCAAGAAATTTTCTCTTATTTTAATGAATACTGAAACACGTACAGTTTTATACTAGACTAAAATATTAGTACAGAAAATACTAACAAGGGGCTGGAGAGATGGCTCCATGGTTAAGAGCACTGGCTGCTCTTCCCGAGGTCGTGAGCTCAATTCCCAGAAGCCACATGGTGGCTCACAACCATCTGTAATAAGACCTGACGCCCTCCTCTGGCATGCGGGCATACATGGAAGCAGAATGTTGTATACGTAATTAATAAATAAATCTTTAATTAAAAAAAAAAGAATACTAACAAATGCAAAGTAAAAGTTCATCAATGTTTAGGGCTCCATCAGTACAGCACTTGAGGAGCAGCATGGATGAAGACTTGGAGTTTGAACCCCAGCACCCATGAGACAAAGCCAAGTATGACGGCACACGCCTGCAATCTGCTGGGGAGGCAGAGACAAGAGGATTATGGAGCTGTCCATACAAAATGGTGGGGCCCAGGTTTCGAGACTGCCTCAAAAAAACAAAGGAAGAACTGAAGAGATAGGTCAATGGTTAAGTGTGCCGGTAACCACATGTCAGCCCACAGCTGCTTGTAACTTCGGTTCCAGTGGGTCTGGTGCCCCTCTGTAGTCTCCGTGGGCACTGCACATATGTGGTGCAGATAACTACATGCAGGCACTCACATCACACACATAAAAAATCAGTCTTTAAAAGTAATCACGTGGGGAGTTACGGAGGAGGGCACCTGAGGTTAACCTCTGGCTTCGAAATACACATGCATATATACACTCCTACGCTTATACAATCTATATTAAATCAAGTCATAAATACAGTCAGTTAACTGAAGCTAAATAATAAGTTAATTAAAAAATAGTTATTTAAATCAGAACCCAGTAAGTCTGTCACAAGCTACCACAAAATTTGTTTCTATCATCACTTTCTGTGACGCTGGTACCCATTTTGTGGATGTGGAGACTGAGGCTCAGAGGACTCAGTTATTAAGTGGCTAAACAAAGTCATACCTAAATCTTTCTGGCTCCAAACAACTTCCTACTGAAAATATGGTCTAGTCATATGAGACAGCTTAAGATTATAAGATGAATCCAGAAAAATAAATATCTTGAAAACGTCTAAAAGAATTTAACAAAACAAATATCACCCCCATACACTAACAATCTGTACCACTGGGAAACAGTATTTATTTAAAGTTCTGGGGAAGGTCTGTCCTTGATAAGAAATAAGAGTTCATCATGAGACAGATTGAGAATTAAAGAACAAACTGGTTAAGCAGCAAGATTCTGTCAAGAAAGAATGAGAAAAAAGGCAAAAGAAACAGAAAGAAAGCAAGGAATACAATGGAGGGGCTGGAGAGATGGCTCAGCGGTTAAGAGCAACGCTGCTCTTCCAGAGGTCCTGAGTTCAATTCCCAGCAACCACATGGTGGCTCACAACCATCTGTAATGAGATCTGGTGCCCTCTTCTGGCCTGCAGGCATACATGGAAGGAATGTTGTATACAAAATAAATACATCTTTTAAAAAAAAAAAAAAAGAGGATTTAAAAAAAAAGAAATATAATGGGTACAGTGTAGTAAGAGTGTCTGTCTAGTGTGCGTGAAGCCTTGAGTTCAAGGCTCAGGACCACAGAAAACAAACATGTTCAAAACCCAAGACCATCTACTCAGGCAGCTCTCCCACATTGTCTGTTTTTGACCAGAAACGCAAACAACTCTTGGGGTTAGAAAACCAAATGGAAAGTTGGGTGTAAAGGCATTCCCCCAAATTTCTAACACTCAAGAGGCTGAGGATTGAAAGTTTAAGACAACTTCTGAATTTACCTAGGCTATTTAGAGAGAGACTGCCTCAAAAACAAACAAAAAGATCTTTTTTAAAGAGAAGAAGGTGGGTAAGACTGAAAAAAGGGGAAGAGGGAGCAAAGAAAGACGGAAACTGGGGGCTGGAACTGTAGCTCAGTAGCTGAGGAGCTTGGCTAGCATGTGCAATGCTCACTAACACACCTTTCTTTTAAGATCCCCGAGAAGCCCTCATGAGGGCTCACAAACTTGGTGATGCCGACGTCAAGCTCTGTGAGCCCATGCTTCATCATGTCTGCAAAGCTCTCTGGCTCCTCCTCTTCCCCTGTCTCTGGAAGGCCTTCTTCCTCTTCTTCCTCCTCTTCCTCCTCTTGCACATGAGCACTGGAATTCTTTTCATCTTTCTTTGTACTTTCAGCTTCTAGAGGCCCAGGCTCCTCCTCACTGCTGTGCAGACCTTCATTTTCTACTCTATCCTGACTGTCGATCAGACAGCACTCTGAAACCTTCTGTTTCTTCGTTTCCTCCTGCGAGGCCACACCGTCATTATCTTCCACAACAAGGCACCCACGTTTCAGGGACACGTTTGTCATTTCCATCTTTAAGGTTCCAAGAAAACATTTACGAGAACCTTTTTAGAGAGGAGAAAAGAGTAGAGGTTAACAATCTCCCATAAAGAAGCTGATTTTTGGCAAACAGAAGCAAAATGAACCTTGTTCAGACGGTCCTTTATAAATCATTTATTAAGCCGGGCAGTGGTGGCACACGCCTTTAATCCCAGCACTCACGAGGCAGAGGCAGGCGGATCTCTGTGAGTTTGAGGCCAGCCTGGTCTACAAAGGGAGTTCCAGGACAGGCTCCAAAGCTACAGAGAAACCCTGTCTTGAAAAACCAAAAAAGAAAAAAAATCATTTATTACAATAATTCTCAGGGGTGTGGAAAGATGGCTCAATGGTTAAGAATGCTTGCTGATTTTTCAGAGAACCCAAGTTTGGTTCCTAATACCAGGTGGTTCCTAATACCTAATATAGGTGGCTCATAACCACCTGCCAGTCCAACTCTAGGAGATTAGACATTCTCTTCTGGCCTTCTAAGGCAATCACATGCATGGGCATTCACTGACACACATTCAGATAAATAAAACATGCAAGTATCTTTTTAATGAGAAAGTAAGTAATTCTGATATTTGCACACACTCAAAAGTATAAAAACAGAAAACAAGTACAATAATTTACACCAACATTCTCATGAACAGCTAAGTGCAGGGGCACATGCCTTTAATCACAGCATGTGGGAAGCAGGTCAGGTGGGTTTCTGTGAGTTTCAGGCCAGTCGGGGCTATACAAAAGGACACTACCTCAATAAACCAACAAACAAAACACTCTAAATGTAGTTTAAGCTAGAAATTTTTTTTAAAAGGGATTTATCTTAAGAACATAATTTAGAGAGGGGCTGGCAAGATGGTTCAATAGTTAATAGCATTTGTTGCTCTTTCAGAGGACCTGGGTTTTGTTCCTAATACATGGTGGCTCACAACTATCCCAAATTTGTTTCATGGGATCTGATGCTTTCTTCTGAATTCTGCAGAAACCAGACATGTACGTGGTGTATCTATATACACACAGGCCAAACTCTCACACATAAAAAAATTAAAAATGAAAACAAAACAAACCCAAACCAAAGAGAATATAAATTCGGGGGATGAAGGGACGGCTCAGAAGTCAAGAGTTCTTGTTGCTCTTTCAGAAGTTCCACATTCAGTTCCCAGTACCCGCATGTAGGGGGTTTACAACTGCCTACAATGCGAGTCCTTGGGGATTCTGTGCTCTGTTCTTACACACAGATGTGTAGGCACACATGCACACACATAAGACAAATTAAATATAAATAAGCTGAATAATATGTAGATACAAGTGACTAGGAACTGCAAAAGGTGGTTACTTCTAGTTGAGGACCTAGGTGGATAGAGCTGTGTTTTCACTGAATACCACCATAGTTTTATTATAACCTTGTCCCAGGCACATGTATTATCTTTCCAAAACTGAGAAAATACAGCAGCATATTAACGAGAGGGGTACTGTTATGTAGTACCTAAGAAATCAGCCGGGTATGATGGCACACTCCTGTAATCTCAGCACTTGAGAGGCAGAAATTAAAGGACTAGTTCAAGGTCAGCCTGAGCTATAAGAGATTCAGACTCAAAACAGCAAGGGATGTGGCTTAGTCAGTGAGGTGTCTCCTTGTAGTCAGAGACTGGTCTTTCATTTCCTGACAGCTTAGACCGGAATAATTACACTGAAACTATATTAATTACAACAATGTTTGGCCAATAACTCAGGCATACTTCTAGCTAGCTCTTACATCGTGAATTAACCCATTTCTAATTATGTGTGTATCACTACGAGGTTGTGGCCTACGGGTAAGGTAAGGTAGTAAGGTAAGGTTCTGGCGGGTGTCCTCCTTTGCTGCATCCTTCTCCTTTGGCAGCTACATGGTGTCTCCTTGACTCTGCCTACTCTCTCTATCTCTGGACTTCCCACTTGGTTTTGCTCTGCTTTTTGATTCCTGAGCTATTGTTGATGCTTACTCATGGTTTGCTCCTTTAAATACTTTTGCTTTCTGAGACAGGGAGGGTCTCATGAAGGGCTGTGCATGTTAGCAAGTGTGCTAACAATGAACCACATTGACCTTTGTCTTTACTTTGAGACAGGGTCTTCCTACATTGCTTAGAATACCCTTACAGGCTGCTTTTGAACTCGTGATCCTCCTGCCGAGGCCTGCAGCAGCATGCATGACTTAGAGACACTTTCTTTAAGGGCAGAGCACACCCAACATCCTATTCAGAAAAAAAAATTTACTTTAACATATATCGAGTATATATATCCTGTGTAGGCACTGGATGAAAACGGAAGACTTCTTGCAATGAAACAGATGACATTCTACTTGTGGACATATTCAAAAACAAAATAAATTTGCAGGGGATGTTCTCAGAAGCAGAATACAATTAAACAAACCCTGTGTGAGGACATGTAAGCCAGTTAAAAGCAGAGAAAGGGATGGATGAGCAGAAAAGGTCACTTTGTGTGAAGCCTCCATAAAGATGTTTTAAAGACTTGAAGAAAGTAGACCTGAAAAACTCTCAGTAGACCCTTGAGAGTCCCACAAGGGCAGAAGAACCTGTAAAGATCACAGGTAGAAATTAGGCTAACAGATCAACTGGTCTGTTATTTCTTTCCAGGGTGCAAAAATCTCAGTTTCATTAGTGCCTTGTATTGCCCCATCCTCTAACAAAAATGTTGAAGAGTAGAGTGTGGTGGCCCAAGCCCGTGAGTTCCACGCCAGCTTGGTCTACACAGAGAGTTCCAGGACAGCAAGGCTATACAGTAGGGAGACTGTCTCAACCCTTCCTCCACAAAAAGAGAGAGACAAGTTCAGAGGGGGATACAGTGGATGTCCTTCTCCTGTAAGACCAGCACTTGGGGGGCTGAGGCAAGAGGATCTCTAGTTCGGGCCACCCTGGTCTACACAGTAAGTCCTGTCTCAAAACTATGTGTTCAAAGAAGCTTGTTAAATTAACAGTTTCTGTCTGTTGGCTATTTGCTAATTTTTGGGCATGATTTCCCTCTTTCTCACTATAGCAAATAGTCTAAATTTTGACAGCTCCTTCAATAAAAACATTGCCCTGCCACCGGGGTATACCAATTTACAGATGGCCACAGATTTTGTATTTGTTGTTGTTACTGTTGGTGGTAGTAATTTTAGAGTGGGAACAAACCAAAACGACACCTACATTTTAGGTTTTTTTTTTTAATTTCATTTTTTATTTTTATTTTTAAGAAGTGGCCTGTAACTCTCTCCCAACACTACTTTCTTGACAGGCACTGATTAACAGCAACAACTATGTGCTTTTTAAAGCCCCCTCAGTTTAGGGCTTGTGGTAAGGACCAAAGGGTAAGTAGCCTGCACAGCAAAGGCTGGAGAAAAGACCCCAGAAAGCCTGATTGCTTTCTTGGGGGTGAGAAGAGCAGCAGCCCGAGGCCGGCCTAGAACGTAAAACATTTGCGGCCAGCACTAAGCCCAGAACCGTGCACGCCGGTCGGGCAATTTGGAGGGTTGAGCAGGGCTGGGGAAACCGTTGGTTTGTATTTCTAGAAAGGAAATGAGCTTGGGGAGCGCCTAAGGCACCTCCAAGCAAGGAAGGAGAGGAAAAGGTTCCGGTCCACAGAGCAGCGGCCAAAGAGGGGCTAGGGAAGCAGCGCCGCCTAACGACCAGCCAGGATCACGGCGAAGAGCCGGGGTCCCGGAGCACCGCTCGGGAATTAGGGAACTGGGATCCGGGATCGGGGAGCATGGAGCAGATACCGGAGAGCGAGAAATGTGGAGCCGGAGGCGGAAAAACCGGGGACGGCGCGGGCTGCGGAGCGGCCAGCCACCCTCCCGGCCGCGTGCTTCTCCGAAGGCCTGGGGCCGTGCCGCCTGGCCGAGCACTTACCCGGAGCCTGAAGGCGCGGGCCAAGCGGCAAAGAAGGCGCTCGCTCCGGACGAACGCAGGAGAGCGGCGGCCACTCGGAGGAGACGGCAGCCAGCGCCAGTCCGCAGAGGCTGGACCGCGAGGAAACTCACTCGGACCAGATCTCCCACCAGCCGCCGGGCTCGCACACGTGCGGCGCAGCGCTGCGCAGACCACGCCCTGGGGCGGAGCCCGCCTCACCCACCCGCGGTCCCGGGAGGACGCTCCGCCCCCCGGTGCCTGGGACTTAAAAAAACCAGAGACTGCATTTTTAGTTGTTAATTGCGCTTGAGTGAGAGCTTCTTTCGCCTTTTATTATAGGTAAGAGCGCATATTAATTGAATGGCTTTCCTATCAATTCGATGCTTGTGTTGTGTTTTGGTCATGTTCAGACATTATGACTCTTGTTGCATCCCATCACTCAGTGAACAATAATGAAAAAAGAATTAATTTTCTCTTCTACAACTTGATACTTACAAACATAACAATATCTAAGAATGCCATGCTCCTACAATCCCTCTGAGACAGGATTCTTTACTCTGTAACCCAGGTAGGCCTGGAACTCAGGGCAATCTGCTGCTTCAGTCTGTTTTTGCCACTTCTTACATTTGAGAACTCCCTAGTCGGACTGTCAGGGAAACCCCATCATTGCTGGTTTATGCTTTGGGGTCAATAAAAATAAAATGTATTTTTATTCTTATGCTCTTCAAGTAGCAAACTAATCAAATCAAAACACCCTATAACATTTCAGATGTAATTTTTTTCCCCAGACTTCAACTCAGGGCAAAAATAAAATAAAATAAATCAAGATTTGTAAGAGTGTGGTGGTTTGAAAGAAAATGGCCCTCATACAGAGTGGCACTATTAGGATGTGTGGCTTTGAGTGGATATGACCTTGTTGGAGGAAGTGTGTAACTGTGGAGGGTAGATTTTGTGGTCTCATATATGCTCAAAATTCTACCCAGTGTCTTAGACTACTTCCTGTTGCCTGCCAGGTGAAGGATTCTCAGTTACTTCTCCAGCACCATGTCTGTCTGTATGCCATCATGTCCCACCATGATGATAATGGACTGACTATCTGAACTGTATGTGAGCTACCCCAATTAAATGTTATACTTTATATGAGTTGCTGTGGTCATGGTGTCTGTTCATAGCCACAGAAACCCTAACTAAAACATGGAGTGTCACAAGCTTGTTATACCAGCACAAAGTTGATGGGGGCAGAAGGACTAGAAGGTTATGGTCCTTTGGGGCTATGTAAGGAATCCCAGATCAACGTGGGTTAGGTGAGAGCCTGTCTCAAATAAAAATGTTATTTCAAATCTTCGTATTTCTCTTAGACATGTGTTGTGTTTGTTGTATCTCTGTGTTTATGTTCACATATGTGATGATTGTCTTATTTGTCAATTTGACATAATCTAGAATTACCTGGGAGACAGGCCCCTGGCCATACCTATGTAGAATTATCCTGGTTGATTTCATTGAAATGGAAAGATCCACATACTATGAATAGCATCATTCTCTGGCTGGGATTCTGGACCATGTAAATCAGAGGCTCTCAACCTGTGGGTCATGACCTTCTTGGGAGTTCTAATGACCCTTTCATTGCTCTCTGTTTCCAATTGTGGGTGTGAGGTGACCAAGGTTCTTAGCTTCCCTTCCATAATGGACTCTATCCTTGAACTGTCAGCCATCTTTAACCCTTTCTCCCTTAAGCTGGTTTTATCTCAAGAAAGTCACTAAGACTTGGTTCACTTTTAAGTTCAAGGAGAGGGATGGCCCGTATTGGGTGTTTTCCTTTATCGCTTTCCAACTTATTTATTTTTACCATTGTGTGTTTATGACATGTGTGTTTGTGTGAGCATGCCTACATGCGGAGGTCAGAGGTCAATTCTGTAGAGGTTGGTTCTCTCCTTCTACCTTTACATGGTTTCTGGGAATAGAAGTCAAGTTGTCAGGCTTGCTTGGCAAGTGCCTTCTCCTTTTGAGCCATCTTGATCATCCCTCTACCTTACTTTTTGGGAAAGCTTTTCGCTGACCCTGGAGCTCATCTATTTGACTAGACTGATTGGCCAGAGAGCTTAAGAATCCTGTCTCTCTAATGCTTGTATTACAGGTACCTGCTGTGTCTAACTTTTTACACGAGTACTAAGATCTGAACTCATGCTTGCACAGTGAACTTTGTATTGACTAAACCCTGTAGGTGAAGTTTTTCATCGGGACCATGATCAGCTCTGTTCAGCCAGCTGCTTCCCAAATAACCATTCAAAGACTTATTATTAATTATAAATGCTTGGTTGATAGCTCTGGCTTATTACTACCTTGCTCTTACAACTTAAATTAATTAAAGTGCTGCCCCGAGGCTCTTGACTTTTACCTCTCCTGCACATCCTGCTCCCTTTCCATCTCGCTGGCGACTCCTCTGACTCTACCCTCCTTCTTCCCAGCATTCTCTCTGCCCTGAAAATCCTGCCTAACTATTGGTCAGTCAGCTTTTTATTAACAATAAGAACAATACCTATTTACAGTGTACAAAGATTGTTCCACAGATTGTCCCACGGCATCTCTCCAACTCAAGACTTCTTCTTAAAATATGGATTTAATGTGAAAATTCAACTAATTAAGTCGTTGTCTTGTTTTCCTACTGCTATAACGAGACACCATCTCCGAGGCAACCTGTAGAAAAAAAGAGGTTATTGGGGCTGACAGTTTCAGAGGATAAGTACGTGATGATGACCTTCATGAGGAGCATGGCGGCAGGCAGTTATGAGCAGTAGCTGAGGTGGAAAACATCAGGAATGGTGTGGGCTTCTGAAGCCTCAAAGCTAGCTGCCTTTGACATGCCTCCTCCAACAAGGCCACACCTCCTGCTCCTTCCCAAACAGTTCTATCTACTGGGGACCAAGTGTTCGAACATAGGAGCCTGTGGGGGTCATTCTCATTCAATGACCACAGCCATATATAATTAGCTTAGACATGTGGGTTCTGTATTGCCTTCCTCTATTATTCACCTCAGTTACCTACCTAAATTCTTTCCTTTGTCCTTGTTTCATCCATTTATTCATTCACTTTCTTTTGAGGTAGGTGCTCAGTATACTGTTATGCCAAAGTCCAGATACCCAAAATACCACCACGAGACTGAATCCAACGCAAAAGCAGAGTCTTTTAATACGAGTTAACTGGGGCCTCTCTCGCCATCCAAAGCAGCGCCACCACCACCACTACAGCAGCAGCACAGCAGAGGAGGCCCTGAGTAGTGTGGAGAGGCAAGATGTGAAGGCCTTGGGGGATTTCAAACCTACATAGCTACACATTTGGGATTGACTCAAGCTCTGACTAGGGGTATCCGGACTGAGTTGATTGGCTGCCTTAGGTCTATGGGAATTGCAGAGGACTCCTGGAGTTGTTTACTCGCTTCTGATAGGCCCCTCCCTTTGTGTGTGTGTGTGTGTGTGTGTGTGTGTGTGTGTGTGTGTGTGTGTGTAGGGGGGGGGGTGAGGTGTTCCCTGTTCCTGACTGGTCTCTCTCAGTGGTGTGATGTGGTACCCATTAACCCTCCCCATGGGTTAAGGTCAGGGGAAGGTCAGAGGCGGTTGTGCCAGCTCTGCTGAAGGGGACCCCTTCCTGCTAAGGTCAGGGGAAGGTCACACCTCTACACCAGAGGGAGTTACTTCCCTGCTCGTGGATTGGTTGGGATTTGTGTTTCAGGTGGTCAGGGGCAGAGATGGCTCTGATTTCAGGGCCAAACTGTTTCTTCCACTGGTCCTTTTTAGCCTTTTGGCTCTAATTTTAGGGCCAGGGCATATTTCTTTAACTGGTTCTGATTCTGGGGAGTAAGTGTTGTTTCTTTGGTTTTGGTTTCAGGGTCAGGGTGTTTTGCTCCAGTTCTGGGTTGGGGGATAAGGTGTTTCTTTTGCTGACTCAGGTTCCATATCCTTGGTGTGTTTCTTTCACTGGCTCTGGGTTCAGAGTCAGGGTGCTCAGGGATTGTGCTATGGCTCCAGATCTGCTGGGGCCAGGGTCTCTCATATAGCTTAGGCTGGACCCAAATTCAAGATCCTCCTCCCTCAGCCTCCCAAGTACTGTGTTTATAGACCTGTGGCACCATGCCTGGCTCATTTCACTAATTATTTTTTTAATGATTTATTTAACTTTATTTTATGTGTATTGGTGGGAAGGTGTCAGATCTCGTGGAACTGCATTTTCAGACAGTTGTGAGCTGCCATGTGGGTGCTGGGAATTGAACCCGGGTCCTCTGGAAGAGCAGGCAGTGCTCTTAACTGCTGAGCCATCTCTCCAGCCCCTCATTTCACTAATTCTTGTACAATCACATACTCTTGGGCTATGGTAAATTAATAAATTAATGCCCCTACATCAGCAGATTCAAATACAACTATGTGACATAATTTAGCCATAATTTAGTCTGCTATTTTATCTTATTTTTTGCCTTTTCAAGACAGAGTTTGAGGTCTGTGTGACCTCAGCCATTCTAAAATCACTGTGTAGACTAGGCTGGGCTCAAACTCACAGAGATCTGAATACCTCTACCTCCCAAGTACTGGGATTAAAGGCATGTGCCACCACTGCCCAGCTCTATTTTAATTTTTTAAAATTTATTTTATTATTTTTACTTTTTAAAACATCTGATTGTTTTGCCAAGTGTGTTCCTGGTACCTGGAGTCCAGAAATTATTCCCCTGGAATTGGAGTTACAGCCGGTTGTCAGCTGCTGGGTGTGCTAGGAAGTGAATCTTGGTTCTCTGGAAGAGCAGCTGGTACTCTGAATTGCTAAAACCATCACTTCAGACCCTAATATTTATTTATTTTTTCTATTGAGACATAGTCTCATTATGTGGCTCTGTGGAACACACAGAGATTCACCTGCCTCCACGTTCTGAGTGCTGGGCTAAAGATGTGCACCATCACCCTGCCACCTCTCCTGGCTCCTATGTTTACTTTCATTTTATGTGTATAGGTGTTTGTCTGCATATATGTCTGCACCACAGTGAGTTTTCTTCTCATTGAGTAGTTTCTGTTTTCTCTAAAGATTTTCTCCTGTTGGATCCCCATTTGTTTTGATGTCAAAGGGATTGCCTTTCAGGATTTGCTAATGAGGTTGTCAGATTTCCAGATTCTCCGCTGTTGCTTCTAAGTAACTCCAGTTCCTCCTCCGTGGGAAATGGTAGAGGCTACCCTAGGCAAAGTGCATGTTAGATTTTGAGTGCTTTTCTTTTCTATCTGGCTCCCAGAATTAATCTCTAGTTGGAAAATAAGAGGGTCATCTCTATGCAATTTGACCAATATTAAATAAAATTCTAGATACTGGCATTCATTGGTAAATTCATGCCAAACCAAGTAACCTACTTTGCCTCTTATGGCCACCATGCTCACTCTCATTCTCAGAACATCAGGATATTGTCTAGATATTTATAATAAACTTACAGATTCACATGAAATCTATGGCATGGAAGGAGAACTATTTCCAAGTTCCATTATCACACGTACTTAAGGGCATCTTTGAACCCAGTAGCTGGAGCTGACTTTGAACTTCTTATCCTCCTGCCTTCCTCATCTCCCAAATGGTGGGATTACAAGTGTGGGTCACCAAGTGAGGGCTGAATTCTGTTTTTATTAACTCCGTAGAAGTGGAGGGAGCTCGGCCACAACTAGGATGCTTTCCTCCGCAGGGCTGGGAAGTAGTAGGGCCTCCGGGTTCCCTGAGCGGTCGATGTGACAGTCAACCAGGAGGTGGCGCCACGGAACAGACTGCGGCGACGCAGATAGGTCTCTCTAGCCGAGAGAACGGAACCAGAGAGACGGCGAAAGGAAGCCGAGGTGGCGCTCAGTCTGGCCTCCCTGGAGGCTGATGTGGTGGTTTTGCCCGTCCGTGGGCGCCCTTACCGGACTCTGTAAGCCAGGCTGGCGGCGGATGGAATCGAGGACTCGCGCGGAGGCAGGATGCTTCCAGCTGGCGAGATAGGCAGGGTGTCGGCAGCCCCGGTGAGGTGTCCCTGGAAACCCGGGGAAGGGACACTGGGGACCCTGTGAGGTGGCACAGACTAGGGGGATGATCCCCGCTAAGTTAGCCTGGGAGCCTGTGAAGGTGGTTCCCCCGGGGAAGTAGTCACAGTGGAGTGTTCCAGGAAGATGACCATTTTGAGAGTTGGCGGGAAGGTGGACTCAGTGTCCCGGCAGGGTAATTGGGAGCCTGGCGAGGTGGTCCAGATTTCTGGGAAAGTGGCAGTGGTGGCGTTAGGGAGGTGGTCAGAAGTACCCCTGGGATACGCGCTTAGGACCTCTCCTCCAGTAGGTGACCTTTTGGAGCCCTGTGTGCACTCCACTTGAATCTAACTTGTTCGCCACACCCGTTTTTCTGCCAGTGCTGCCCCGAAAGCGGTGACCAAATGAAGAACACAGAGGAGAAACGTAAGCAGGCTTCAAACCCTTAGTTCTTTTTGCCTGGCTGTCCTTCCCAGCACACTCTTTCAGGCTCTGCAAAAAGAGGTTTCTTAGCCTGTTATCTTTTAAATGAAGTATTTTTTTTCTGTACAATGTGTAAATAGTAATAAATACTAGTTATCTTTGCACATGGACTTTTGTCTCTCTAAGATTGTAAGATGTGGAGAGAGCACTCTTGAGACTCCTACCTAGTGTCCTGTCCAGTATGACTTTACTGGGGCCTGTCATTTTAATGACACAGCAGCCTGATATCAGGTATTTGGAGGGAGTGATGTGGGTCACTGTTGCTGGGCTCAAGAAAGAGGTTAGATAATTGCTTGATACTTTTACTTTCAGTAAATTTGTAATTAAAATTTACTTCAGGTAGAACACAACTTAGGTCCTGGATCTTGGTCCGGATAGGGGATAAGGAAAAGATCTGGTACCTCATTTCCTACCTAGGACAAGGAAACGTCAGAGATGTGGATATTTATCCTTTTACTTTAATGACATAAGCATGGCAGGTTATTAGAAATCCAGTACTCTTCAGGGGCTGGCTTTGTCCCTCATGCCTCTGTTTCCCAGGTGTCATATTCCCCGTCTCTTCAGAACCTTTTTTCCTTTTTTTTTTTTTTAAGAGGAAGCAAAAGAGCATGCAATAACTTTTTTAGTGTGCTAAGAGTTCAGTTCAGTTCAGTGACTTGACAAGCAGACTGAGGGTGCCCATGTCACCATGTCCTAGGAGGAAGTTCTGACCTTGCTATTGGCTACTGTTCAGCCCCCTGCCCCTTTTTCTTGGATCTGGAAAGATGGCTTGTTGCTTCAGAGTGCTTGCTGCTTTTACAGAGTACCTTGTTCAGTTCCCAGAACGCAGGTGGCAGCTTAGTCTTTAGTTTCAGGAGTTTAAATCCCCTGTTCTCGCCTTTTAGGGCTCAGGGAAGCAAACATATGTGTACATCAGTTAAATGAACAAATCCTTTTAAAAAAGCAGAAATTGTCTGGGAAGTATTTATTACAGTGGCAGAGTTCTTGCCTAGCACTTTGGCAGCCGTGGATTTGAACTTAGGCACCGCCACACAAACAAACAAACAAACAAACAGAAAATGGGCTTAGGTGTTAAGAGAATTCACTGCTCTTCCAGCTGGGTTCCATTCCCAGCACCCACAGGGTGGCTAACAACTACTTATAACTATAGTTCTAGGGGATCCAATGCCTGCTTCTGGCCTGTGTCTGGCCTCTATGTTCATTGGATGAATGTGGTACACAGTCATACATGAAGTCAAAACACCTGTATACATGAAAATAAAATCTCTGAAAGCTGCCGGGCAGTGGTAGCACACTGCTTTAATTCCAGCACTCAGGAAGTAGAGGCGGGTGGAGTTCGAGGTCATCCTGATCTAAGAAGTGAATTCCAGGACAGCCAGAACCGCTACACAGAGAAACCCTGTCTTGAAAAATCCCACTCAGATGCCTTGACATAACTGATCTGTCATTTTAGAATGTCAGGTACAAATTATTGCATTAAGGACTTTGTTGTTGTGTAGCCAGCGACTCAATCATCTGCTGTGCAATGCTGAATGCTCTTTATAAGAAATAAAAGGAGCCAGGTGTCCTGGCTCATGTCTGAAATTCCATTTCTTAGGAGACTGAGGCAGGAGGATTGTCATGATTTGGAGACCAGTCTAGGTCACAGATTTAGAGCCTATCTTTTTGTTTTTAGATCTTTATTTTTTTTAGATTTGTGAAGTATAATTAAGCCTAGACTCCTTTTTAAAATTTAAATTGATTTGTTTTTAATTTTTATGGTGTCTTGCTTGCATGTATGTCTGTGCACCATCTGCTTCTCTGGTGCCAGAAGAAGCCAGAAGAGGACTTCAGATCCCTGGGAACTGAAGTTAAGATGGTTCTGAGCTGTCGTGTGGGTGCTGGGAATCAAACCCTGGTCTTCTGCAAAAACAACAATAGTTATTCTCCAGCCCATAGATCCTACCTTAAGAAACCAAAATAAAACCAAGTATGGTGCATGCCTGTAATCCTAGCACCCAAGAGGTGGAGACAGAAGGATTAGAAATTGAAAGTCAGTGATCCTTGACTAGATGAGCAAATTTGAGACCAGCTCAGGATATCTGAGAGCTTTCTCAAAAGCAAATAAACATAAATAGATAATAAAAAAAATCCTTATTTATAATTTTGAAGGAGATGTGCTTAAGAATATAGTATGCCATATTTAAATATGGTTGTAATTTTTGTTGTTTAAAGTGAAGGTTAAATTGACCACCGAGGAAACAGAAACCTACTTCTGTCAAATATACCCCGTACAACTCATTTGTTATATTTATGAGAAGTTCTCAAGAAGATATTAAGCAGTCAGAACATGATTGCAGTTGGATGTGTCTTATGTATCCCAGGCTGGTTTTAAACTTGCTATGTCGCTGTGGATGCCTCTGAACTGCCCATCTTCCTCCCCCCACTTCTCCAGTACAGGTGTGTGCCATCACATTCGGTATCACTTTACCAATTGAATCTCATCCCTAGCCACAGATAATTATATTTTAATGTATTAGTTATTATTGTGGCTAACATATGTCAAATATTAAAGTTGAGATACAGAAAAAAATAGCTGTTCATAAGAGAATAAAAATAGTTTTGAATTAAAAGCCAGGAAATACGATTTTAGTCTCATTTTCAACCTTTATAGACTGGGGCATACATTATTACTTATTTATAGTTTGGAAGTTGAGACTTAGCCTTGTTTTATTTCTCTTATCAGTGATTTCTTGCTTCTCATTTGCTGCAAATGATCTGATCCTCCTTTTGTATAAATACAATTTTTTATTGCATTTTATTTAGTGTGTGTGTGTGTGTGTACACATAGGCACGTGTGTGCTACCGTGTTTGTGTGGTGATCAGAGGACAGCTTGTGAGAGTTGGCTGTCTTCTACCACGTACGTCCTGGGCATCAAACTTAGGACATCAAGTTATTATTGTTTTTTTGTAGGGGTTCGAGACACAGTTCACTATATAGTTCAACCTGGCCTTGAATTTGTATTTGTTCTCCTTCAGCCCCTGGAGTGCTAGCCTCCGGTAGAATGAACCACCTTGGTCTGGTATATTCTGTTACTCTATACATAAATATTTGAACAGTATCTGATACACATTTTTCATTTAGGCATATCTTCATTTAGATATGATAGAGTGCTTGCTTAGCACGCTCAGAGCTCTAGGTTCAGTACCCAGAACTGCATAATACTGTGTAGTGGGGCACCTATAATTTCAGCAAAGACTTGGAATGTGGAGTCAGGAGGATCAGACATTCATTTCTAGCTGTATAGAGAGTTCAAGGCCTGCCGGGCTACAGAAACCCTATCTCAAAAACAAAAACTCTAAACCAAAATATGCACGCACACACACACACACAACAATTTTTTTTAAAGAGCTGATGCAGCTTATGCTTTTGTAATTCCTGTAACACAGTGATGTGAGTAGTTGCTTTTCCTTTCTGTAGGTGACATGAACATTGCAGCTCTTGTTGGAAGCGAACAACCCATGCAAGGTAGAGGTGACGATGAGCTTCCCCTGAACGTGTCTGCATTCATAGAAAAGGAAGTGGGAAGTGACCTGAACTCTTTAAAGAAACTTGGCAAACTCATAGAACAGATGACAGAAAATAAAATGAAGTTACAAGAACAGGTAAGTATTAACCTCAGGGAAGTTATAGTAACTGCATTCATTGAAACAATGTGACAGTCTCATGCGTGCTGCATACCATGCCTTTGAAGATGTAGATCGTGATGGAGAGCAACTTAACTGATAGGCTTTAATGTCTCCTGCTACAAATTTTATAAATGAAGTAAAAGAGTTCCTACTGATGGGTATTTTTGAAAACAGAATGTTAGCTAACAATTTATATCATTTTCATTTTATACCTTCTAGAACAGGTTTATTAATAATTCAGAATGTACAAAAATGGTTAAACAGTGTCATTCCAAGTTTTTATAAATGCACACAGAGGAAGGAAGCATGTGTAATGTACGGTGGTTGCTGGGTGTGCTGGCAGCACATGATAGCCTCAGCACTTAGAGAGAGGAGGCAAGTGTATCAGGAGTTCAAGGCCAACCTCAGCTATGTAATGATTATAGATCATTCTGGATTCCACGAAAAATAGCAAAACACTGAAAGAGTTTTTAACGATGTTTGTTTGTGAGTGTTGATTGAAAGGTGATTTTCCTCATGCATTTATGTATTATTGAGGTTTCATTTTACTATGGACATAGTACTTTATTTTTAAAAACCCAATGAAAATAATCTTAAACTAGGTAAGTCTTCATAGTTGTAGTACTCTGTCAAAGAGGAAAGATTTTATAATATAAGAAATTAGTTAGGTTAAGCAAACTCTGAATATGCGGGTGTGGCGTGGCTTTATTTTCTCCCAACCCCGTGAACTGAGTGAGGCTTCCACAGTTTCCTGCTTTCCTGTCACAGCTACGACTCATCTATGTGTGGTCGGATCAGCTTTCCCATTCCTTCAGAGTTATGCTGACTCATTCAAGGAGCTTTCCTATCACAGCTACGACTCATCTTTATGTGTGGTCGGATCAGCTTTCCCATTCCTTCAGAGTTATGCTGACTCATTCAAGGAGCTTTCCTATCACAGCTACGACTCATCTTCATGTGTGGTCGGATCAGCTTTTCCATTCCTTCAGAGTTATGCTGAGTCATTCGAGGATGGCCCAGTTTGTGGCCTGCTTCCATGACTATCTTCAGCCTTACCTTACAGATTCTGAATTTTCCCCAAGAGACTACCCTATGTGGCTGTTCTGCCATTTCGTTTTCTCTAATAGAAAATTGAAACACCCACCATGATTATTAATTTAACACTTTATTTGTTATTATTTTTACCTTTCAGAGGTAAACTAATTTTTTGTTTACCACTAAAGGATTCTAGGTGAGCATTTAATAAGTTGTGTTGCAGAGAATGGCCTTGAACTTTTGACCTTCCTCCTTCCACTTCTGGAGTACTAGGATTTTCAATGCACACCACTGCGTTGTGTTCCCAGGGATCAAACTCAGGGTTTCATGCATACTAGGCAAGCACTCTCCTGAGCAGGAACTCAAGTCAGGAACCTGGAGACAGGAACTGATGCAGAAACCATGGAACCTCTTCATGGGTTGCAGAAATCACACTTGGGTGATCAACCTTACTACTAGCTGCTACCTCGGGTCTTTAAAAATATATCATTAATGTTCTTAGTGTATGCCTTTTTAGGGTTTCTATTGCTATGAAGAGACACCATGAACATGGTAACTCTTATAAAGGAAAGCATTTAATTGGGTCTGGCTTACAGTTTCAGAGGTAGTTCATTATCATCATGACGGGACATGGTGGCTTACTGGAGAAGGAGCTGAGAAGTTCTCCATCTTGATCTGCAGGTAGTAGAAGCAGCTATGTATAGCTTGAGCGTATAAGACCTCAGAACCCATACATTCCTCCATTAAGTGACATACTTCCTCCATTAAGGCCACTCCCTATGGGCTAAGCATTCAAACATGATTCTGTGGGGGCCATACCTACTCACACCACCACAGTGTATAAATAGGTTTCATTATGACATTTTCATACATATATATCATTGTACTTTGCATATATTCTCTGATCCTGGTTCTCTCCTTACCTCATTTCTTCTGTCAATGATATTGTGCCTGCCCTACATAGGCCTTCCAGCAGGAGCTAATACTAATGCAGCCTTACACCCTAGCTTTTTCCTAGCACCTTGACAACCAGTGGTCTTAACTTGCTCTTGGAATCCGATCCTTTGCTTCACTACCAGTCCTGTCTTTTCAGTAGATAAACATAGGTCTTCCTACCCCCCCCCAAAAAAAAGCCAAAAACAAAACTATTCCCTTCATTTTTTAGTAGGCATTTATTCATTCATTTGGCTCAGGGTTTTTAAAAAGTCTTTATTATCAATCTCCATTTTCTAGTTTGCCGTTAACTCTTTTACCTTGTGATCAAGCTTGATTACCACAGATATTTTTGCTGAAGTCTATTGCTAACCCTGAAACTGTTCTCCTCTGTCTCTCATCTGTGACCGATAGCACAGCCCTCTATTTATCACTCAGGTCTCGATTTTTAGTTCTGTGATAAAACACAGTGACCAAAAAAAAAAAAAAAAAAAAAAACAACTTGTGGAGGAAAGAGATATTTTTGGCTTACACTTCCATGTCATGGTCTATCATTGAGGGAAGTCAAAGCAAGAACTCAAGACAGGAACTAGTACAGAGACCATGGGAAAACAATGCTTATTGGCTTGCTTTTCATGGCTTGCTCAGCTTGTTTTTTTGTATAACTAAGGACTACCTGACCAGGGCTGGCTCTACCTTTAGTGTGCTGTGATCTTCCACATCAATCATTAATCAAGAACATGCCCACAGACCACCCTAAAAGCCTATGTTTTGGAAGCATTTTCTCAGCAGAAGTTCCATCTTTTCAGTGACTCTCTATCTTGTGTCAGTTTGACAAAAACCCAACCAGCTCAGGTCTGTAGCCTAGGAGTCTGATGCTTCCCCTCCCTCGGTTAATAGACAACCTCCAGTTATCTGAGTTCCCTTGTTACTTTCCTATTCCTGCTTTCCACTGTGAATTTCCTTCATTTAAAACATCTAGTGGACTCTTACTGTTGTACAGTATGTTCTCCCGTTAGCTGTGATCTGGTCTTTCCCTCCTGCCCAGGCTGATCTCTAGGTGATTTTTGTGCATGCTCAGGTTTCAGGAGTGCTACATTAGTGTTTCTACGAGCTCCTGGTGTGTTGTTAACAAGGCATCGCTCTAGCACTGGCTAACCTGGAACTCACAAGATTCCATCTGCCTGTAACTCCCAAGTGCTGGGGCTAAAGGTGAAGCTACGCCCACTTTGTTTTATTGCACTTTTTTGTATGATTATGTGTCTCTTTCATACTTAAGGGCAGATGTTGTATCTTGTTCTATTGCTAGTGTAGTGCTGGGTTGAGAGTGTTAATCAGGGCTGATTAAGTTGAAATGCTATGAAATTCTGTGTGGTACTGGGTGTGGTCACATGGCTTTGACCTGTAACCCCAGAACTCATAAGATGGAAGGGGAATTCCCAGAAATTCAGGGCCAGCCAGGTAGATATGAGACTATCTCAAAATAAAATATTAGTCATCAAAACCTTGCTTTTTGATGTCTAATATTGGTTTATGTTTCTCATATATGATAAAAAAAACATTTTAAAACTGTTTATTTTTTTTGAAACTTTATAGGTGTAGCTTCTTTTTTTATTTTTATTTTTTTGAAAAAATTTCCGCCTCCTCCCCGCCTCCCATTTCCCTCCCCCTCCCCCTTTTTCCCCCCCCCCCCCCCCCCCCCCCCCCCCCCCCCCCCCCCCCCCCCCCCCCCCCCCCCCCCCCCCCCCCCCCCCCCCCCCTCCCCCCCCCCCCCTCCCCCCCCCCTCCCACCCCTCCCCCCCTCCCCCCCCCCCTCTCCCCTCCCCCCACTCCATTCCTCCCCCCCCAAAAGTTAATGTTTAAATGGCATACCAAAAATAAAAATGTTTCATCACGGCAAAAAAATAAATAAAAATAAAACCTGTTTATTTTAATTACATGATTGGGGTTGGGTTATATGCATAAGTGCAGGTGCCCCCGTAGCCAGAGGCTTCACTCCATTGTGGGTTCTGGGCAAAGAACTTGTGTTCTCTGGAGGAGAAATATATACAGTTAACTACTGAGCCATCTCTTCTGACCCCTATAAAAATATCCCTTAATAAATTTCATTTCTAAAGACGTTATCTAAATATCTTTTTATCAAATCAGTAAGTCTCATCCGAGGCTTCAGCAAAATACAGGGACCCAGCTGTATTTTGGGTTTTTTTGTTTGTTTGCTGTGAGACAGGGCTTTATGTAACTCAGGCTGGCCTCATACTCCTATGTAGCTGAGACTGACATAGAAATCCTGATCCTCCTGCCTCGTTCTCCCAAGTGTTGAGGTTGGAGGTATGTGCTACCTTGCTTAGTTTAAAAGATTTTTCCCTCTGTGGTACTGAGAATTTAACCCAGTCTTACACATACTAGGTAGGTGCTCTACTTGAGGAGGCATATTCCCAACTGTGTTATGAATATAGCTTGGATCACAACTTCATTTATTTTATGAAGGAAAATATCTTAGTGAAGCAAGAAACTTCTGGCTGTATGCTTTCAAAGTGTTCCAGATATTTGCATGGGAGCCGTGTGTTGGGAGGTCTCTCATAGATAGCATTTACACTTTGGGTTGATTGCTATAGGATGAAGAAATTGAGCCTTGTTATTTTGTTTGTGTGTGTGTGTGTGTGTGTGTGTGTGTGTGTGTGTATGTGGCATATGTTTCCATGAGTGTGCAAATGTCAGGTCAGTGTCAAGTGTCTATCTCTATCACTGTCCACATATTTTTTTGAGGTAGGGTCCCTTTACTGATTCAGCTAGATGGTCTGGGGCAGAGTTCTACCTGTCTCTGTTCTCCTAGAGTGAGGATTACAGACACAGGACTGTGCCTGGTTTTTACCTTTCCAGCCCCTTTTCTTTTTCTTTCTTTTATTTTTTTTTAAACATACTATCTTTTTTCAGTTTACATACCAATCCCCATTCCCACTCCCTTCCTCCTCCCATTCCCTTCACTTTAGTCCCCCCACAACCCTATCCAGTCCTCAGAGAGAGTAGGGCACATTGCTTTGAGGAAGGTCCAGGGCCCTCCCTACTATATTTAGGCTGAGCAAGGATCCATCCAAAGAGAATAGGTTCCCAAAAAACCAGTACAAGCAGTAGGGATAAATCCTAGTGCCATTGCCAGTGACCCTGCAGTCTGCTCCAGCCATACAATTGTCACCCGCATTCAGAGGCTCTAGTTTATTCATATGCTGTCTGGCTGGATGGAGTTGGTGAGCTCCCATTAGCTCAGGTAGACTGTTTCAGTGGGTGTCCCCATCATGGTCTTGACCTCTTTGCTCATATTCTCACTCCTCTCACTCTTCAACTGGACTTTGGGAGCTCAGCCCAGTGCTCTGCTGCAGGTCTCTGCCTCTGTTTCTATCAGTTGATTGATGAAGGTTCTATGGTGACATTTAAGATAGTAATCAATCTGACTACAGGTCAGTTTGGGTACCCTCTCCATTATTGCTTAGGGTCTTTGCTGGGATCATCCTTGTGGATTCCTGGAAATTTCTCTATAGCCAGGTTTCTTGCTATTCCCATAATGGCTCCCACACTCAAAATATCTCTTTTTTTTCTCTACTATACCGTTCCCTCAAGTTCTCTTCCCCCTCCCTTTCTTCCCTTCTCCTCTTCCACCCTCCCTTCTCCCCCCACAACCATTCTCCCAATTTTGTCAGGAGATCTTGTCTATCTATTTTGCCTTCCCAGGGGGGAATCTATATATGTTTTTCTTAGGGTTCACCTTGTTACTTAGCTTCTCTAGGGTCATGAACTATAACTATAAGCTCGTTATCCTTTGCTTTACAGCTAGTATCCATGTTCATCTTTCTGGGTCTGTCTGGGTTACCTCACCCAGGATGGTTTTACTGAAGGTATTTATCAGCTGTAGAAGTGCCCTGGTAAAGTTTTTGGGGGTCACTTATGTATACTATCACATCATCTGAAAATAGCAAAAATTTGACTTCTCCCTTTCCAATTTGAATCCTCTTGATCTCTTTTTGTTGTCTTAGTGCACTAGTCAGAACTTCAAGAACTATGTTGAATAGATATGGAGAGAGTGGACAGCTTTGCCTTGTTCCTAATTCTAGTGGGATCACTGAGTTTCTCACCATTTAATTTGATGGTGGCTGTCGGCTTGCTGTATGTTGCTTTTATTATGTTTAGATATGTTCCTTGTATTCCTGATCTCTCCAAGACCTTTATCATGAAGGGGTCAAATGCTTTTCCGTTTCTAATGAGATGACCATGTGTTTTTCTTCTTCCAGTTTGTTTATATGGTAGATTACATTGATAGATTTTCGTATGTCGAACCGTCCCTGCATCTGTGGGATAAAGCCAACTTGATCATGGTGGATGATTTTTTTTGATGTGTCTTTTGATTCGGTTTGCCAGTATTTTATTGAGTATTTTTGCATCTATGTTCATGAGTGAGATTGGTCTGTAATTGTCTTTCTTGGTTGAGTCTTTTTGTGGTTTTAGTATCAAGGTAACTGTAGCCTCATAAAAAGAGTTTGTTAATGTTCGTTCTGTTTCTATTATGTGGAACACTTTGAGGAGTATAGGTATTAGCTATTCTTTGAAGTTCTGGTAGACTTCTGCACTGAAACCATCCGGCCCTGGCCTTTTTTCAGAGTTTTTTTTTTTTCTTTTGAAGATTTATTTATTATGTGTACAGAGTTCTGCTTGCATTTATGCCTGCAGGTCAGAAGATGGTATGAGAACTCATTACAGATGGTTGTGAGCCACCATGTGGCTGCTGGTAATTGAACTCAGGACCTCTGGAAAAGCAGCCAGTGCTTGTAACCACTGAGCCATCTCTCCAGTCCTCTTTTGATATAGTCTTATGTAGGCTAGGGTGGCCTAGAACTTAATAAATAGCCCAGGCTGACCTTGAATTCCTGATTGTTCGACTTCTACCTCCCAAGTGCCAGCACACCTAACCAAACCTTTTGTTTAAAGGGTTTTTATGTTTTGTTTTTAAGACAAACTCTCATTACATAACTGTGGCTATCCTGAAACTCACGCATAGCCTCAAACTTACAAGGTTCTCTTGCACCTACCTTTTGAGTGTTGAGATTAAAGATTTATGCCACTGTGCCCAGCTAGCTTGAAATTTTTAATAGAAAACTTTCAGTTCTTTTGGAACATGATTTTGGAAAAGACTAAACTAACAAAATTTTACCTCATTGCTAATATTTTTGTGTGCTGTTAGGTACTTGCAATTTCGTCAGAAATCCCTAAAAGAATTCAAAGTGCTTTAAAAGATGCAGAAGTATCCAGACACGTTCTTAGTCAGTTTCTGGAGCAGGAAACTCCTCTCTTCAGCTCCATCACCAGCCATTTGCTGACTGCACAGCCCTGGATGGACGACCTCAGTGCCATGATCAGCCAGATAGAAGAGATCGAGCAGCATCTCACGTACCTTAAGTGGGTTTCCCAGATCGAAGAGCTAAGGTAGGTGGGCATTATTCTCATAATTATTGCTTCCTTTGAGCCTCTGTCTCAGAGAGTGTGTGTATGCTGTTAAATAATCGAGTTAATTAAAGATTATAATTTTTACTAGTTGTTAGGAAAATGGCATTATGGTAATGAGTGCTCTGCTCTGTTGTGAATGAACATAAACTTTTCAGGGAGTACTCTAAATTAGTTAAAAATTCAAGGCTACGCATGCCTTTAATCCCTGTACTTGGGAGGTGAGGCAGGTGGATCTCTGTGAGTTCCTGTCTGGTCTACAGAGTGAGTTCTAGGACAGTCAAGACTACACAGAGAAACCCTGCCTTGAAAAACCAAAAATATTAAAAAGTTAAAAAAAAATTTAAGGCTCAAGCAATTGTGTTTTGAACACATGGTCAAAACTACTGTTTCTTTTCTTTCTTTTCTTATCACTGTATGCATATGGTGCACATAATATACATGCAGGCAAAGCACTCGTAAACATAAAATAAGAATAAATAAATAATTGGCTGTGTGGTGGTATTTTATACCTTTAATTCCAACACTTAGGAGGCAGAGGCAGGCAGATCTCTGTAAATTCGAGGCCAGTCTGGTCCATAGTGTGAGTTTGAGGACAGCCAAGGCTGCACAAATCCTGTCTTGAAAAACCAAAAATATCAATCAATCAATCAATCAATCAACCAATCCTGTTTCGAAAAACCAAAATAATAAGTAAAGGAATGAGTAAATGAACGAGTGAATGAATACATAAATAAATGCTTAAAAAAGATCTGTGAGCCTAACATATAATCCCCACCTTGGGACTGAAGCAGGAAGATTGCTGCATGTTTTGGGTCAGCTTTGTTTACATAGTGACTTCCAGAAACCCAGGATATTTACTGAGACCTGATTTCCAAAACAACAGCAAGCAAAAATAACTACATAATTTGGCCAATGTGATGGTTCAAACGTGACATTTTAGTTTTGGGGAGGCCAAGGCAGAAGGATAGCAAGTTCACTTCAAGAGCAGCTTAGGGCTTCATGGCCAGACCTTGCCTAAAAACAGACAAATACGCACCATCAAACAATGCACTATTATTAGATGAATAATAAAGTGAAATACCTATGAATAGGGAAAAATAAGAAAGTTATTTTGATAAAAAGAGAAATAAAGTTCACATCTGTTTTGTGAACACTACAGGTTGATTATATCCGGTCAGAGCAACGTTTCTGCCTAAATGGGGAGATTATTCTGCTTCACAGTATGGTCTCCACCCCTTCCAAATTATACATTGGTTGTTTTCGTTTATTTTATTTTTATTATTATTATTGTTTTTTTGAGACAGGTTTCTCTGGGTAGCTTTTGTGCCTGTAGACCAGGTTGGCCTCCAACTCATAGAGATCTGTCTACCTCTGCTTCTCGAGTGCTGGCTTGAAAGGCATGCACCACCACCACCTGATGCTTTTTATTTTTAAGACAGAGCCTTACTATTTAATCCTGACTTCTTGGAACTTACTATGTAGACCAGGCTTCTGCTTTGTCTTACAGTGATAACATTCAGCAATACCTGATGACCAATAATGTGCCAGAGGCAGCCTCTATCCTGGTCGCCATGACAGAAGTTGACATCAAGCTTCAGGAGTCATCTTGTACTCATCTTCTTAGTTTCGTGAGAGCGACAGTTAAATTCTGGCATAAAATTCTCAAGGACAAGCTTACCAGGTAGGTAATCTCGTGGTGATTGTTCTCCGATGGATATTTGGTAATTTAATGGCATCATATGAAATAATGTTTCTTTTCTGTTACAGTGATTTTGAGGAAATTTTAGCACAGCTTCATTGGCCATTCATCACACACACCCAGTCTCAGACTGTTGGCATAAGCCGGCCTGCTGGTGCGCCTGAGGTGTATTGTACCCTGGAGACCCTGTTTTGTCAACTGTTGAAACTTCAAGCCTCGTATCTTTGTTGGAGTGGAAAACTTGATAAAACTTCTTCCTGTAGTAGATTTGTGGCTAGTGATTAAAACATTCTAGGCAAGTGATCGAGAGGTAGAGTATTAAGGAGACAGTGGAATTATCTCCAGTACCAGGGGAACATTTTCAGAGTGTCCATAAGCCAAATCGAGGGTCCTGGGTTAGACTTGATATGCTTGTTGGAGAATATATATTTTCTTTGGAAAATGAATTTTCTGGGGGTGGGAGGGCTGTAAAAAAAGAGTTCTGAGATCAACAACTGTCTTAGCCAGTGTTCTTTTGCCGTGAAGAGACACCATGACCACAGGAAGTCTTATAAAGGAAAACCTTTAGCTGGGTCTGACTTAGTTTCAGAGGTGTAGTCCATTGTTGTCATGGCGGGAAACATGGTGCTGGAGAAGGAGCTGAGACAGCAGGAAGAGAGAGACACTGGGCCTATCCTGAGCGGTTGAAACCCCAAAAGCCCACCCCTAGTGACACACTTCCCCCAAGGCCACAGCTATTCCAATAAGGCCACACACCTAATCCCTGTCAAATTGTGTCCCTTCCTAATGACCAAACATTTAAATATTTGAGCCTGTGTTGGCCATTCTTATTCAAACCACCACAGTAACTGGTCAATGTTGGCATTACAGGTCTTTTAGAACAATAAAACAAATAGGCAATAGGAAAAAAAAACCTTAGAAAGTATTAATCAACCAAAACAAAAAAAGAAAAAGAAAAAAAAAAGAAAGTATTAATCAAATGATTGTGTAAGTTGATTTTCTTACCATTGATTGATTCTAAAAACCTTTTATATTTTCATTTATTTTTTATTTTGTGAGTATAAATGTTTTTCCAGTATCTGTGTATCATGTGCATGCCTTGTGCCTGTTGAAGTCAGAAGAGTACATCAGATGCCCTGATGCTATAGTTAAGGATGTTTGTGAGTAATGATGTGGGTGCTGGGAATCCAGCCTGGATTCTCTGCAAGAGCAACAAGTGTCCTCCCTCCCTCCCTCCCTCCCTCCCTCCCTCCCCCCCCCCCCCCCCCCCTCTTTGGTTTTCCAAGACGGGGTTTCTCTGTAGCTTTGGAGCCTGTCCTGGAACTAGCTCTGTAGATCAGGCTGTCCTTGAACTCACAGAGATCCTCCTGCCACTTCTTCCCGAGTGCTGGGATTAAAGGCATGCACCATCACTGCCTGGCTGCAACAAGTGTTCTTAACCATGGGGTCATGTCTTCAGTCCCATAAACCTTTTTAGGTTTAAATTCAATATAAAGTTAGATTTTTCATTACTTGTATTAAACCTTTTGCTAAGTATTAATATTTGATGGAAATTTTTTTTGTGTGTATGTATGTGTGTACACTTAGGTGTATATATGTGATTTTGATTCTTTTTCCTTGACTTGACTGTGCCAGAGATGAATTATTAACTGAGCCAAAACAACTACCAGAAAAATATTCTCTTCCTGCATGCCCTTCTGTGATCCTGCCCATCCAGATCATGCTGACTCCCCTTCAGAAGAGATTCAGGTACCATTTCAGAGGAAGCCGGCAGACGAACGTCATCAGCAAGGTGTGCTTCTCTATTTCCTCTTTTCTTTTCTTTTTGAGATGATCCGAGAAGAACCCCAGACTGGCCCCAAACCGAGCTCCCTCTGCATCTGCCTCCTGAGTACTGGGATTACATGTATGTGTCACGATATCCCTTTGCCGTGTTTTCATTAAATGTTACCTGTGCCAGGGTGTTTAAGTTAAAAACTGGTCTCTATACATGTTTCTGTTTTCCCTAAAAGGCTAAATACCTGCTTCATGACTGCCCTTTGTAGCCTTCACACGTTGTCAGAATTGCTGCTCTCTTTGGAACATTGACCAATTTCTCACATTTACATTTGGGCAAGCAGACTTTACAACCAGATCTATGCCCAGTCTTTATAGACCGCTCCTGTAGATGCATAGAGTAAATAACTGTGAGTTCCACAAGATAGTGCATTGGCTGGTGAATAGTCAGGCCAGTGCCAAAGTGACTCATAGCTGCAGAAGAGACATCATGGCAGTAAGTGATGGAATAATTTAAAGGAAATTGTTAGCAGCATTTGAACTGAGGGACCACATCAGTGTATCCTGTTGGTGCTTTTCTGTAATTATAATCTACAAGGATGAGGGCACTGTCTTGTTTATTCTCGATGTTTGCTGCAGCCAATGCAGCGCATGGGGCAGGGTTCCAGGTATTTACATGTCATATGAATGAACTTAGTGTTTGTACTTTATGGGTTTCCTTTTTGGATAGAGTGTTGTTGGAATAGCAGAATAATTTAGTGCTCAGTAGTAAATGAGGCAAAACATAAACCGAACATGTAGAAAGGCAATAATATAATTTGATGTAAGAGAATTTTGAGTTGTGTTGGCTTAGTTTAAAAGTGTGATCCTAATGAAGTTAGTGCTTTGTCACTAGACCTAAAATGAGACAATCCTTGAGGTTAGATGCTGCCCTTATTTGTATGCCCAACCTTTAGAACACCATAGGCAGTATCAGCATTTGTTTTCTCAGTGCTGGGGACTGAACTCAGGGCCTTGCACATGCTAGGCAAGTGTTCTATCCCTGAGTTATACCCCCAGCTTAGTATACGTTTTTGAGTTCTTGTCTAGAAAAACTTGAAATGTTTGCAAAATCCTTTCTAAAGACAATTTAAAGTGCTTTCTGTGGGGCTGGTGAGGTGGCCTAGTGGATGAAGCCATACATACCTCCAAGCCTGGCAGCTGGAGATTGATCCCCAGGACCCACACTGTGGCAAGAGAGACCTGACTACTAAGGTTGTCTTCTGAGAGCCACTGTACACTGTGTCTCTGTGTACCCCCATACACACACGTGCAAATGTGCATATCTACACAGAGGAAAAATGTAATATAAATTTTAAATTCTTGGTACATTTTAAGTCTTGGATATATTTTTAATGTAGACCAGCTGACTTTCCCCCTTTATGTTTTGAAAAGAGAAAGCTGAAGAACATCATGTTTAAAATTTATCTGGGGATGTAGCTCATTCTAAGTATTTAGCATGCTTGCCTAGCTCACATGAAGACCTAGGTTTGCTCCCCAGCACCACATAAACCACATGAAATCCTCAAACTAGGGAGGTAGAGCAGAAGATCAGAAGTTCATCATCCTCAGAGTTTGAGTCTAGCATAAGCTGTATGAGATCCTATCCCCAAAAACTTTTTTTGAAATGCTATTTCAACAAACAGTTTCAAAGATATTAGTTGTTTATAGTACCTCATCATGCTAGGTTTGGAGGGCTGTAAAATAAACCAGCACTTTATTTCTTTCTCCTGTGTAGGTCAGAGGAGCGGCCTGTGCGAGTTGGCTCTTGCCCTCTACCACGTCAGGTTGCTAGGTTTGCTCGCAGGCCCCTTCATTCACAGAGCTGTTTGTGTGCGCTGGGCGGATGTTTGTTTCTCAGTGTATTTGGCTCTCTTTTCTTCATTCTTGTTGTCATTATGCCCTCCTCCTCTTTTCTGTGGCATTGGGGGTTGAAACCAAGGCTTTTTACATCTAAGTGAATGTTACACTACCAAGCTATATGTAGCTCCAATGTGGTATTTTAAATTTGTGAGTTTACTGATTTAAGCCACATTATTGGAATTTGTTGAGTATATTGGGAAACATTTGATTATGAAGTCTTTTGTGAGTTTGAAGTGCAGGGTAAGAATTATTGTCTTATGTATAGGATTTTTTTAAAACTAATTTTGTGTCTGTTTACAATTAAATGCACTTAATTAGAATTTTTATAACTAAAGAGTAAATAAAGAATAGAAACCATTTCTTTTCCCTTAGCCTGAATGGTACTTGACTCAGGTACTCATATGGATTGGAAACCATGCTCACTTTCTGGATGAGAAGATTCAGCCAATATTGGATAAAGCAGGCTCTGTAGTAAATGCCAGGGTAAGAGGCTAAGGCCTGTGCATTTCGGCTTCATTAGAGTTGTTCACGTACCTGACGGACATGATCCCTCATACCTGTCTGTTTCTTTCAGCTCGAGTTTTCCTGGGGCCTTGTGATGCTCGTCCTTGAGAAGCTGGCTTCCGACATACCTTGCCTGCTCTATGATGACAATCTCTTCTGCCATTTGGTGGATGAGGTGTTGTTGTTTGAGAGGGAGCTGCACAGCGTCCATGGCTACCCTAGCACTTTGGCCAGTTGCATGCATATTCTGTCAGAGGAAACCTGTTTTCAGAGATGGTTGACTGTGGAGAGAAAATGTAAGTGCTCATGTGGCCATTGCGTTGGGAGGGCTGTCTCAGTTGTTTTGTTTGTTTGTTTGTTTGCTTCCTTTTTGTTTTATTTTTAGGCAGGGTCTCACTATACAACTTTGGCTGGCCTACAACTCTCTATGTAGACCAAGTTGGCCTCAAACTCATTGAGATCTTTTGCCTCCTAAGTGTTAGGATTAAAGGCATGTACCACCATGTACCACCACTGTCTGGCAATCTGTCTGTTTTTGGTGTGTAAATTTTTTTTTTTTTCTTTCTCTTTCAGCTCTGAGCGGGAACTATAGGAGCCTGTTTTCCTGGGCAGGATCTATTGAATTACCTTCAAAGACAATCTTCTTTTCTTTTCATGAATCCTCAGGGTTTTTTTTTTTCTTTTCTCTTGGAATTATAGTCTGCCTGTTAAAATATTGAGTCAGTAGAGGATATTGCTGTTTTATAGATTTTTGGCATATGCTGTTTCTGTACTATTTCTACCTTTTGTTGATTGTTTTTGGATGTACCACATCTAGACAGCATAACTATTTTGAGGATTTGAGAGGAGGGAGAATAAGGTATTTTATTTAACTCTAAAGTAGAACATTTTAAATATAGTGCAATTAGTTAGAGATTGCAAATTTATTTTGTATGAAAAAAATAATTGTTGCCGGGCGATGGTGGCGCATGCCTTTAATCGCAGCACTTGGGAGGCAGAGACAGGTGGATCTCTGTGAGTTCGAGACCAGCCTGGTCTACAGAGTTAGTTCCAGGACAGGCTCCAAAGCCACAGAGAAACCCTGTCTTGAAAAACAAAACAAACAAACAAAAAAAAAAAACAAAAAATAATTGCTAAAAAGTATAAGTTGATAATTTAAGGATGACTATAACTCCTTGACATGGTCTTTCTTTCTTCCTCTTAGTTGCTCTTCAAAAAATGGACTCGATGCTTTCATCAGAGGCTGCTTGGGTATCTCAATATAAAGACATCACTGATGTGGATGAAATGAAGGTTCCAGACTGTGCGGAAGTTTTTATGACTTTACTTTTGGTTATAACTGGTAATTATTGGTCTTTTAATGTATAATATTAGTTTAAAATTAAGTTTTTAAGCTGTGTATGGGGACACACACTTGTAATCCCATCTTGGGAGTTAGAGGCAGGGCAGGAAGACCAAGAGTTCAAGGCCAGTCCCAGCTACAAAGCAAGTTTGAGGTCAGCCAACAAAAACAAAACAAACCAAGGAGCAAACAAACAACAAAACTAACTATAGTAAGTTTGAGGCTTGAGAGGTAGCTAAGCAGATAAGGATCTTGCTGCTCTTGGTAAGCTACCAGTTTGTAACCTGCTGTAACCTCCTCAGACACCAGGTGTGTGTGGTGCATATGTATACATGCAGGCACACATTCATAAACATAAAAGTGCTAAGTCTTTAAAGTAGTACATTTTACCAGGAGGTAGTGGTGCGGGGAGGGGGGGTGTGGGGGTGTGGGGGTGGGGGGGGATCTCTGAGTTCAAGGTCAGCCTGATCTATAGAATAAGTTCCAGGATAGCCAGGGCTACACAGAGAAACCTTGTCTCCAAAAACCAAAAACCAAAACCAAATAAACCAAGTAGTACGTTTCACGCGGATTTTTTTTTTTTTTTTTTGTCGTTGTGGTTTGGTAAATAAGGGATCACGGTATAGTAACTTCATGTTTTTTCTATTCTAGTAAAAACCTAGGACATTAGTCTCATGTTTGGTTTTATAATAATTTAGGACTGAGCCAGGTGTGGTAGCATTCACTTTATATCCCAGCATTATGGAAGAACAGTCTAGAGGATTTGTGACTTTGAGACCATTCTGGTTTATGAATTCCAGTTTACCCCAGATATATACTGAGATGCTGTCTCAAAATAATGAAATAACAGTAAATGTTAATAATAATATTAATAGTAGCAATAATCAGGCCATTTGAGATGCTATCTCAAAATAATGATAACAACAGCATAATAACTTAGGATGTAAACATTGGTATACATATGAAGGGAAAAAGTCTTGAATAAGGCTGGGCAGTGGTGGTTCATGCCTTTAATCCCAGGACTCAAGAAGCAGATGCAGGCAGATAATTTATGAGTTCTAAGTCAGCCTGGTCTACAGAGTGAGTTCTAGGACAGTAAGGGGCAACACAGAGAAATCCTGTCTCGAAAAACAGAAAACAAAATAACCAACAAAAAAAGTTTTAAAAAATTGATTGTCATTCTTTTTACAAGTCTTCAGATTTCATTTTATTACTATTATTTTAAAGACTTGATGTGTATGAGTATATACCTGCATGAACGTATGTGTACCATGTGTGTGTTTAGTGCTTATAGAGGCCAGAAGGAAATATTGGATCCCCTGAAACTGGAGTTACAGATGGTTGTGAGCTGCCATGGAGGGGCTGAGAACCAAACTTGTATCCTCTGTAAGCAAGTACTCTTAACTGGCGAGCATCTCTTTGAGTCCTTTTATTTTACTTAAATTCTTTAGCTTTATGTGTTTGAGACGTTTGCCTGCATATATGTATGTGTACCACATGCGTGCTTAGTGCCTGTGTAGCTCAGAAGAGAGCATTGGATTCTCTAGAATGGGAGTTGTATATGGTTGTAAGCTGAGAATGGAACCAGGATCTGCTCTAAGAACAGCCATTGTTCTTTCTGCCCCCATTTATTATATTTTTAAGAGGTAGAGTCTTGCTGTGTTGCCTGGGCTGACTTGAGCTCTTCTCAGACGATCTTTCTGCCTCGGCTTCCCAGGTAGCTGAGACTAGGGACATACTGCCATGTCCAGTGCAAACCTAAACTTTCTTGGCACTGAAGAAGAGAGTAGAATAATAAAGTCGTTTTAGAATTGTTCAAGGAGATAAAATGATTAAGAAATGGAATATAGGGAGTGGTGATCTCAGGGCAAAATCCCACCCGGCTAAGTTTCCAATTTGTGAAAAGGAACTAAAGAAAAGCTTATAGCCAGGTGTGGTGGTGCACACCTTCAATCCCAGCACTGGGAAGGCAGAGGCTGGTGGATCTCTTGAGTTTAAGGCCAGCCTGGTCTACAGAGCAAGTTTCAGGACAGCTAAGCTTCTACAGTGAAGGACAGAAAGCTGTTGAAGATGTAACTCAACAAGGGAGCCATGTTCTAGCCCCAGTAAGCAGCAGAACTTGGCAGCTTTAGCCACATGGTTGTGGGTTTAGAGTTAAGGATAGAAGAAATGGGTTATGGAGTTTACCTCTGAGCCTAAAGAAAGCCCCTGACATGTGACAGGGGTCTTCCTGAATGCAGGCCTAGTAGAGAGGTCATTGAGTGAAGCTGTGAAGTTGAAGCCTGCGTTTCCTTGGAGATGGCAGAGTTGTGGATACCTGTGCTGTGCCTTTGTCACACGCAGCCCCCAAATGTAACCACCACAGAGCTGGTGCTTGACGCAAACACACTGGGGTTTATTGAATACAAGCTAACTCGGATTGGTTAGGGTATAGGGGAATTTCAAAACGTCATTGTCAGCAGACAAGAATTTCAAAACAGCAGTCAATCAGATACCCACAAGGACATTTGAAGCAAGCAGTAAACAACTGTTGTTTGGACACTTTGATGGGTCACTCTGACCAGGGCTGGCACAGCTTCTTGGGAATGCGTATAACTTTTGCTGGGCTGCATTAACCCCCAGCCCTAGTTAGGTCCTGTCTGAAATGGAGTTCTTCCGTTTGTTCTGCTCCTTCACCTGCTGAGTAGAGCTACTAACAGGGAGTAGAAGCAGCCCACAATAAGCTGAACAGAGTTGGAGATTTGAAGAGTGTTTTGACATCAGACATGCTTTGGTCCAGTTTCCTTGATATGCTCCCTTCCCTGTGTTTTGGAATAGCAATATATATCCTGTGCCATTATGTGTTGGAAGTATGTGATCTGCTTTTTGATTTTAATTTTATAGGGGATTACAGTTAAGAGATTGCCATGATTTTGGACTTTGAAACAAATTTGAGACTGTTATAGGCTATGGGGACTTAGGAAGTTAGATTAAATACATTTTTGCATTATAATACAGCTACAAGTCTTCCAGAGAGTGGAATGTGACTGTTTGAAAGAAATGACCCCCAAAGGAAGTGGCACTTTTAGGAGGTGTGACTTCATTGGAGTTTGGTGTGGTATGGTCTTTCTGGAGCAAGTGTTACTGTGGGCGTGGGTTGTGAGGTTTCCTATGCTTGGGATACCTCCCAGTGTCTCAGTCAACTTCCTATTGCCTGCAAGATGTAGCACTCTCAGCTACTCCAGCACCACATCTGCCTGCATGCCACCATGGCCCCACCATGGTGATAAACTGTAAATATCTATTTATTTATTATGTATACAATATTCTGTCTATGTGCATGTCTGCAGCCAGAAGAGGGCACCAGACCTCTTTACAGATGGTTGTGAGCCACCATGTGGTTGCCGGGAATTGAACTCAGGACCTTTGGAAGAGCAGGCAATGCTCTTAACCACTGAGCCATCTCTCCATCCAACACCGTCGTCATGGTGTTTCTTTACAACAGTAAAAACCCTAACTAAGACAGCAATCCATTTATTTATTTATTTATTTGCTTTTTTTAAAATTGATTTTTTTTTTTTTTGAGCTCTACATTTTTCTCTGCTCCCCTTCCTGCCTCTCTCCTCCCCTCTTAAACCCTCCAAGGTCCCCATGCTCCCAATTTACTCAGATCTTGTAGCATCCATATCTTGAGCTTTATGAAATCTGAAGAAGTTTCATTCCGACCCAATCAATAATTACCTATTTTGACTATAGGAAAATGTGAAACACTTAAAGATAAGGGAAGAGGCCTGGGCTACCCAAATTGGCTGCCATCTGGGCCCAGATCCAGCACTTTGTGTCCACCTGAACATCTCTTCCATCTATGAGCTACTGGAGCTCATGGAGGAGCCTGTCTTACAGAATCAGATGAATAGGGCCTGTTCTTGGCCCATGCTCCCGGCATGGAGCTGCTGTGGCTGCTGGGAGAGCACAGGGCAGTGGTACTGCTTGCAGGCTACAGGCACAAAGGTCAAGCTTGGTGAGCCTTGGGTTGGATGCAAGATCACCCTGACTCTGGGCAACAGCAGGATATCTAAGATGAGTTTCTGGCAGTGGTCCAGTATTTATGGTATGTCAGAAACCAGAAATCTTGAAGCAGATTAGTGACTCAATGGAATGAGTATTTGCACTATTTGGGCAAATATATAATACACTGTGTGACACACTGCAGTTTCCAATGCCACTATTATCAATGGATATGAGATGGAGAGATGGGAAAGATGGAGGCGTGGAGCAGTGTGTGTGTGTGTGTGTGTGTGTGTGTGTGTGTGTGTGTGTGTGTGTTGGAGAGAGATGGAACTAGAGGCGTCATGGTGATGACAGATGTGACAGAAAGACGCAGTTGAACATGTTGCCAGGTAGGACTGGTGGGTGATGTGCAGCAGCCTGGAGCTTGCTCAGACTCAGCCCCCAAACATGCTGCCCAGCCACAAGATCCCTCTAGCTCTGAGCAACAATAGGATGTCGGGGGTAAAGAATGATTCATTTTCTGGGTCGGAATTCCATTTAAGATCTTCATGGTCCATCCTGCCCCCAGAGGCTATGTTGGCATCTGTGGTCTATGCTGTGGTCCCATGCTGTATTGAAGCCTAAGGTTCATGTATATATCAGTGGACTGGGCTGCCGGTGGAGGCCATGTTGATGACTGAGATCCATGCTACCATGGTAGGCCAGATGTATGTCCATAGTCTGTGCTAATGCAGAGGCCATGTTAGTGTCTGTGGTCCTAGTTGCCACTGGAGACCTGTGTTTTATGTTGATGTGTGTGGCCTGTATTGCCACCTGAGGTCATGTTGATATCTATGGTCTGTGCTGCCACTGAGGGTCAAGTTGGGGTCTGTGGTCCTGCTGCAGCTGGGAGCCATGTTAATGTCTGTGGGCCATGTAGCTGCTGGGGGCCTTGTTGATAGAAGTGACCTGTGCCTGTTGATATAAGTGGGCTGGGGCCATGTTGATGTCCATGGTCCATGCTCCCACTGACTGTAAAGGACAAGGAAGCTGCTTTTGGAGCGGAATCAATGCTGGCAGACACACAGTTGAGAGCCATAGAAGGCATATGAAAGCACCTATCACACCCTACCCTATCCCCAACAAAATAACAGCCTAGACAACCAGCCATCAAAGAGAGCTCTTAAAAATTCTGATAAGGATGCTGAAGTATTTTTTTCCACAATTGATGACTTATGGCAGGAGTAGGACTTCTGGTAGGAAGGACTGGATTTTCTTTAAGGGGCTGACCACTGCGAGTTTGACCACGCTCCAGTGAGTGCATGAGCAACACAATTGGACTTGTGTGGTTTTATTTTTTCTTCTTTTTTTTGGGGGGGGGGTTACAAAGGTGGTGGAAGTGGACCTTGGGTGCATTGTGTGAAATTCCCAAATAATCAATAAAAATATTACACTGGAAAAAGAAAAGGATAGCCAGATATGATGGTACATACCTTTAATTTGAAATACCAGGATTTTAGAGGTAGAGGCTAAAGGATCAGGGATTCAAAGTCATCCTTAGCCATGTAGGGAATATGAGACCAGCCTGGGCTACATGAGCCCTGTCTCAAGTCCTGCTCACCAGAGCTACTAACTTAAGGGACAGTTATTTTTAAACATAATATGTGCTGATTGGTGGTGACACACACCTTTAATCCCAGCATTCGGAAGGCAGAGGCAGGCGGCTCTGTGAGTTCGAGGCCACCTTGGTCTACAAGAGCTAGTTTCAGAACAGAGAAACTCTGTCTCAAAAAAAAAAAAAAAAAACAAAACCAACCAAACCAAAAAACCCCATAATTTCTTTTTTGCAAGTGAGACATGATTTATATGTAGTAAAACACACAGATCTAGATTTTAAGTATTTTTAAGTATACTGTTGGATGAGCCCTGACACATGTTATACCCTTGTAATCTTTAAGCGTTTAGGAATGGTCATTTGAGATTTTTCATAAAGGCAACAGAGTTGAATTTTAGGGAAAACTGTCACGACAGTGCCAAACCCCATCATGTGTTGTTAACTTTCTCCACAGACAGGTATAAAAATCTTCCCACAGCTTCCCGAAAGCTACAGTTCCTGGAGTTACAGAAAGATCTAGTCGATGATTTTAGGATACGATTAACACAGGTCATGAAAGAAGAGACCAGAGCTTCACTTGACTTCCGGTACTGTGCAATTCTTAACGCTGTGAACTACATCTCCACAGTCCTGGCAGATTGGGCTGACAATGTTGTGAGTTAATATGCTTTTATGTTTATATAAATAATATATTGTACCTTGATCTTCTTTAACCTTTGAAATGTTGACTCTGTTACAAGCAAAAAAAATTATGTTCGACAAAAAGCATAATGATGCCAAATTTAGGAGATGTCAGTAAAGATTTTTCTCAATCAAATCTAAAACAGTTAAATAATACTAATTATTTAATAACTTTACTCATAAGAGGGCTAGAGGTATAGCTCAGTTAGAGCATATGAGCCCACCAAACTTGAGCAAGATCTTGAGTTTGATCCCTAGGACCATAAACTAAGAGAAAGAAAAGACAAAAAGAAGAAAACAGGCAGACATGGTAGGTTAGCCTGTAATCCCAGCACTTGGGAATATGGATCAGGAGCCTCAAGGTCATTTTTGATAATATAGTGAGTTCTAGGCCAGCCTGAGTTACTTCTTTCAGAAATAAACAAAAGGAAGGAAAGAAAGAAAATGAAGACAGACACACAGACTTCCATAAATAACTATATAGCATGAACCATTTTTTTCTTCCAACTTTGTACTCTGAAAATAATAATATGCTAAATGCTAGCACAGAAAAGTCTTTATTTTATAATGATCCCCAAACCAATACATTTAAATTGATGGTATAGTTCAGTGGCAGAACATGGTGGAAAGTTCTGTTTTCATTTCCCAACACTGCAAAGAAAAAAATGTCCAGGGCTTGACTCTTTTGAATATCTTCAAAGTAAGATTTCTTAGTTATGGTTCCTATTGCTGTGATAAAAGACTGGCCAAAGGCAGCTTGTCGTCTGCCATCCAGGGAGTCAGGGCAGGAACATGGAGACAGCTGGTGCAGAAGTCATGGAGGAGTGTTGCTTATTAGATTGCTCTCCATCGCTTGCTCAGTCTGCACCCAGGACCACCACAAAGGCTGGAACTGCCTACGTCAGTGTCCACAGGCCTATCCGGTGGGTGCATTATGTATCTGTCACTCTTACTGTTTTTTTTAAAGGTTTTCTTTTAATGGTATGTGTCTGAGTGTTTTGCCTGCATGTAAGTGTGTAAACCACCTATGTGCAGTGCCCACAGAGGCTAGAACACCCCCATACTGGAGTTACAGAGGATTGTAAGTCATCATGTTGGTGCTGACCACTGAACCTGGATCCTCTGAAAGAGCAGTGAGTGCTCTCAATTCCAGACGCTTGCTGTGCTTCTCACACCACCTTTCTGTTGTTATCACTTCTCCCTGCCCCAACCAACTTGATTATTTTAAGTTTACCTCAGATATTATATTTAATTATTAATATTTTAGTATGTATCTGTGAGAGAAAAGTGTGTGTGTGTTTAATCCATTATCATGGCAGGGATCATGGCAGCATGCAGGTTGGCACTGGAGCAGTAACTGAGAGCTACATCTTGATTCACAGGCAGAGAGTAGAGGAGAGGGGAGAGGTGAGAGAGAGGAAGGGAGGGAGGAGGGAGAGAGGGAGGGGGGGGAGAGAGAGAGGAAGGGAGGGAGGAGGGAGAGAGGGAGGGAGGAGAGAGAGAGGGAGGGGGGAGAGAGAGAGAGAGAGAGAGAGAGAGAGAGAGAGAGAGAGAGAGAGAGAGAGCGCAAACAGACCAGACAGACATTGGGCCTAGCATGGGCTTTTGAAATCTCAGAGCCCACCTTCTCCAACAAGGCCACACCTACTCCGAGAAAGCTACACCTCCTAATTATTCTAATCCTTTCAAACAGTTCTGTTCCCTGGTCTAAACATTCAAATATATGAGCTTATAGAGGTCACACTCATTCAAATCACTATGGTATATGTTCATAGATTTAAGTTTTAATCTTGTTATTAATCTAAGCAACATATATTAACTATTAGCTAAGTGAAGGTAACCAGATTTTCTGGTATGTACTTCATTTGAATATGCCTTTAGAGACTGGGGCTGTGGCTCAGTTGGTGGAATCATTACCCCCATGCGTAAGTCCTGGGTTTGATCCCACACAGCATAAACTGGGCACGTGGAGAAGTCTGCAATCCCATGGGAGGTGGAGGAAGGTCAGAAGTTCTAGGTTATCCTCAGCTACACAGGAAGTTCAAGGTCAGCCTAAGGTACCTGAAATCCTGCCTCAAAAAAGAAAGCCTTTATATATAGTCTCAATATTGGTTAATTTCTTTAGATATTTTAGATACAGTACTAAAGTGATTTCAGAGGGCCTTCCAGGCTAACTTCTTAGGCAAGAGTGCTGTCCAGCTAGGATTCGGTGTTTTAAGAACATTTATGAAGGTACAGCTATGTATTTGGCTTTATAATGTTTGCTTCATACAGTGCATTTCCTGACAGAAACCATTCATAAGGACCTTAGATAGGCATATGATGGCAAAATACACTAAAGCATAAAAACTATGATGAACAGATAGGTACATTATAAATATAAACTGTTATATATTATCATAAAAGCAAAGTAGACAAACACCCCTAAATTAAAAATATAGTGTGTGTATATTTTAAAAATACTGCTTTAAAAATACAGTATGTAGAGGGGAATTAAAAATTATAAAGTTGAGCAGGGCGGTGGTGGCACACGCCTTTAATCCCAGCACTCGGGAGGCAGAGGCAGGCGGATCTCTGGGAGTTCGAGGCCAGCCTGGTCTACAAGAGCTAGTTCCAGGACAGGCACCAAAGCTACAGAGAAACCCTGTCTCGAAAAACCAAAAAAAAAAAAAAAAAAATTATAAAGTTGAGGTTGGGATTTTGTTCAGTGGCAGAGTCCTTGCTTAGTAAAAATGAAGCCCTAGATTCAATCTCTTGCACAAAGGAGAACAAAGTAGAAGTTTTTACATCATGTTGAGAATGTAGCTCAGTTGGTAGGGTTCTTTTCTAGCAACACACAAAGCTCTAGGTTCAGTCTCCAGCTCCACCAAAAACAAAACAAGTTAACTGAAGGACGGGAGTGTAGTTTAGTGGTAGTAGAGTACTTGCCCGGCATGTATAAGACTGTTGGTTCAGTTTCAAGCACCATCACACACACACACACACACACACACACACACACACACAGAGTTAACTGAAATATATGTACATGATGTCATTTGCTGGAGCAAGGAAATGAATATAATGCAGAGTGCAGTGATTAATGCATTTATTTTTATAACGTCAGTCAGCATTATCTGTTCATTTTGCGCCTCTGTGTCGTGTTCTACTTCCAGTCAGCACTTCATATTCAGCTCCCACACTGATCCACTTGCTGCTAAGACTTTTCAAAGCATGAAGGAAATTGTCATTCTTATGCTAGATGATCCAGTGAGAAACTCATTCGGGAACAGATTTTTAGTATCAATGAAATTCTTTGTAGAACATCACAGCTATTTGGTGCCACTGTCTGCTAATGAAGATGGTTTGGCTACCATCTTTACCTAAAGAAAATTAAAATATTGTTTCTCGGAGCAAGAGAAGAACAAAATTTAAGAGTTGACTCTTAAGTATGAATGGATTCTGGATTTTATGGTGCTGATTTTATCTTCCCTTCGAAAGTCCTTCAATTATTTTCACAGTGCTTCAGACTTTAAATGCTTTAAGTAAATGTCATCATAGTTTTTGTGTTGTATAGTTCCATAACCAGAAAAAAAAAGACAGTTCGCCTTCCGTCTGTTTCTGATTGTCTGTTGATAACCATCTGTTGTTGGGTTTTGCCAAGCCTGAAATATCCAAGCATTCAGAAATTTCCTTTCAGTTCCAACTGTCCTAAGTGTGGGCGTTGGGGAGGGGTAAGTGAAGGATTTGTGTAAATGTGCTCATTACATTAGGCATGCCTTCTCCACAGTTCATCTCTGGTTTCAGACTTTGGACATGTGGCCTAGGAGGCTCTTGGGCTAGTACTGAAAAAAAATGACATTTTAGTTCTCTGACTGTTATAATTCCAGGTTTATGACAACCTTCATAAGTATTTGGAGTATGATCACGACCAGGAAATACAAATTTACAAATAAAAGCCACTGTAGTGAGAAAAAGAAACTGTCAGGGGAGGCACACCCCTTTCATTTTAGCAATGGGGACCACACCTTCAAGGCCAGCTTCATCTGCACAGAGTTTTGAGCCAGCTAAGACTACAAGTACCACAGTAACACTTTTAACCAAATGCTTAGGAGACTGAGGCAGGGTGATTATGAGTTTGAAGATACACTGGACTACTATTTTGAGACCAGCCTGAACTACATAGCAAATTCCAGTCTTAAAACAGTGCAAAAAAGAAAAAGAAAACAAACAAAACTCTCACATATGCCAAAAACAAAACAAAACCCAAACAACAAACCTCCACAAAACTCTTCCAGTGTGCACGTAGAGAGCTTTAACCCTCTGCATACGGCAGGTGGTGGAAGATGGAGTTATAAATCCAGCAGTTCCACTCTTCCAGACAGGCAAAGACATACTACCTTTTATGCATTCTCTAGCGGCTGGATGTTTGGATTGTTTCCATTTTGTGTCTATTATGTATAATGTTGCGGAGAACAATAGTGTGCCCATTTTTCTGTGAAAAGTGCTTCCATCTTGAACTCAGGACACCAGGCTTGGCAGCAAGTGACTTTACCGATGGAGCCATCTCTGGAACTGGACTGCACACCTTAAATAAGGAAATTGTATGATGTAGAATTCTATCTCAGGATGTCCAGCACCATGGTAATGCGTATCCTAATAGATGCGTGCTTTCAGTTCTTCCTGCAGCTTCAGCAGGCAGCGCTGGAGGTCTTTGCAGAGAATAACGCCCTCAGTAAGCTGCAGCTGGGACAGCTGGCCTCCATGGAGAGCTCTGTCTTCGATGACATGATTAATCTCTTGGAGCGTTTAAAGCTTGATATGTTGACTCGCCAAGTGGACCACGTTTTTAGAGAAGTGAAAGATGCCGCAAAGTTGTATAAGAAGGAAAGGTATGTCCTGTGTCAGTCACTCTTACACGAGCTGGTCAGAGTCGAAGGTGGCATGGATGCCATGGATCATAGCTTTTGTGGAACCCCTGCTCCCATATGTGGAGATTGAACTTGGGGTTTTGTATATGGTGGGTCCAAACTTTGGTTTTGATGTAAATCTTTCTAAAATCTATTCTTTTGAAATTTACTCAGAAATAAACAAGTGATAATGTGGATTTCACATGATCTGGGGTTGACTAGCTCGGTGTACAGAGTAAAATGCCCTGTGTATGTGTCTTACAATGTATTCTCCTGCCTTTAAGCCCTAGTATGGTACCTGCTCACAGAGAACTGTCATCAATTTGGAAGTAGTATTAGTTGTTTGCTAAAATCAGAACATAAGATTAACTGGCGTCTTTTTAATTCTAAAGATACGCTTTAATTTTTTAGCTTACAACAATTGAATTTAGGGTATTTTCAAGGAAATATTAAATGATTAAAAGTTAAAATATAAGTAGATACATTTATTTCTGGGAGGGCCTTTAATATTAGACATTACTTTTTTTCTTTTAAACTCTAGAATTCCCCCCAAATAGTACATCTTGAATTTAAAGTGATTTGTTGAAACCTTAAGGATACAGAGTGATTGATAAGTGTCCTTCTGGTGAAGGTTATTTGTTTTCTTAGATGGCTGTCCCTGCCGTCTCAGTCTGAACAGGCAGTGATGTCCCTGTCCAGCTCAGCCTGCCCACTCTTGCTGACCTTGCGAGATCATCTGCTTCAGCTGGAGCAGCAGCTTTGTTTCTCCTTATTCCGAATTTTCTGGCAGATACTTGTAGAGAAGCTGGATACATACATCTATCAGGAGGTAAGCCAGTGGGTGCTGGGGGGCTGGCTGTGCTGATGAAGGCTGTCGTTATATGTATTGCTCTTTGTTTCAGATAATCCTTGCTAATCATTTCAACGAAGGAGGAGCAGCCCAGTTACAGTTCGATATGACACGGAATCTTTTCCCTTTGTTTTCTCACTATTGCAAGAGACCAGAAAACTACTTTAAACAGTAAGCCTGATGACTTATCGTAAATATTGGTGTATCCACTTGTTAAAGGAGTTGGCTTCTTTTTTAACAATTTCAGAGTTTTATTGATATTGGTTGCAGTAATATCAATTAAAATCTGGAGCTGGAGAGATAGCTCATAAGTTAAGAGCACTTGATGCTCTTGTAGAGGACTGGGGTTTGGTTCTCAGCACTTACATAGTGGCTACAGCTGTCCATAGCTCCAGTTCTGACACTGTCTTCTGGCCTCCACAGGCACCAGGCACATACAAGGTGCATAGACACATACAGGCAAAACAGGCACATAAAATTTAAAAAATATATAAAAAATAAATTAAAGCCTGAAAACATCCATTGGGTATCTATTTTATTTTCAAAACACAATAGGGAAACCAAAATAATGCGTGTTATTCACATCCTCAGAAATTACATGTTGTACTTGCTACCTAGCATCTAGTTCACTGCTATTTGCTTATTACTGGGAGAGTAAATAGAAAATGAATTCAGATATAAATCTACCATCTGCAGAAAATAAGAAATCACAGCTACGTTTAGTGCCTAACAGTAGCCTAGACCAGAGGAAAATGAGTTTTCTTATAAATTTAATATTAGTTTTACTTCTAGGTATAGTTAAAACATGAGAACAATTACTAAGAATCTAGTAAAAATTTTGTTGATTTAAAATTTACATTATGTATAGGGGTTGTACAATTTGGAAACATTCCTTTGCAATATAAAAGCTTATGCTTGTTTATTTCAGGAAGCTACGGTTGCTTCTGGTTTGCTTTCCTTTTTTTGAAGTGGGGTTTCAGGTATTCCAGGCTGGCCATGAATTAGTATGTAGTAGCAGAGGGTGCCCCTTAGCTTCTGATCCTCCTGTCTCCCTCTTCTGAGTGTTGTGAATGCAGGTACGCACCCTCCACACCCCCAGGTTCTCTCCCACACTCTACCTAGTACAGTAAATCTCCAGTGCCTGTTTATTATTATTATTTTTATTTTTTTTCAAGACAAGAGTTTCTTTTTTATTTTAATTTTTTAAACAATCTTTTCTCATTTTCCATAGCTATTCCAGTTCCCACTCCTTCCCCTCTTCCCACTTTTTCTACATCCTCTCCCCACCGCCCCTCTTTACTCCTTAGAGAGGGTAAGGCTTCTTATGGGAGTCAACAAAGTCTGGCACATCACTCTGAGGCAGGACCAAGGCCCTTCCCCTATATCTATGCTGAGCAAGGTATCCCTCCAAAAAGAATGGGCTCCAAAAAACCCCTTTCAAACACTAGGGATAAATCCTGGTCCCACTGCCAGTGGCCCCGTAGACTTCTCAAGCCACATTCAGAGTGCCTAGTTTGGTCTTATGCAGGTCCCTCCTCCCCCATCAGTACAGAGCCAGTGAGCTTCCGCTAGCTCAGGTCAGGTGTTCTGTTGGTATCCCCATCGTGGTCTTGATCCCTTTGACTCCTCCCTCTCTGACTGTACTTCAGGAGCTAAGCCCAGTACATCAATCTGATTACAGGGGAAGGCCAGTTCAGGCACCCTCTCCACTATTGCTTAGGGTCTTAGCTGGGGTCATCCTTATGGAATCCTGGGAATTTCCCTGGTGTCAGGATTCACACTAGCCCTGTAATGGCTCCTTCAATCAAGAGATCTCTTTCCTTGCTCTCCCTCTCTGTCCTTCCCACATCTTGGCCATCCCATTCCCTCAAGTTCTCCTCCTCCCTCCCCTTCTCCTGTCCTCTTCCTTTCCTGTTCCCCTCCCCCCATGCTCCCAATTTTCTAGGAGATTTTATCTATTTCCCATTCCTAGGGGGATCCATGTACGTCTCTCAGGGTTCTCCTTGTTACCTAGGTTCTCTGGGGTCATGGACTATAGGCTGGTTCTTTGCTTTACCTCTAATACCCACTTATGAGTGAGTACATACTGTGTTTGTCAAGACAAGGTTTCTTTGTATAGCCTTGGATGCCCTAAAACTAACTTTGTAGACCAGGCTGACCTCGAAGTCACAGAAATCCTCCTGCCTCTGCCTCCTGAGTGCTGGGATTAAAGGCGTGCACTACCACTGCTCAGCTGATTTTTATTATTATTTAAATTTTATTATTTTAAATTATTAAAAATTATTATTTTAAATTTGGAGGTCAGATGACAACTTGTGGGAAATAGTTCTCTCCTACCATGCAAAACCCAAGAATTGAACTCAGGTCACAAAGCTTGCCAAGCAGGCACTTTACCCATGAGCCATTTTACACAGCCTTTCTATTTCTGTTGTGGTTTTGGTTTTCTGAAACAAAGTCTCTCTGTGTAGCCTTGGCTACCCTGGAGCTCACAGTGTAGACCAGACTGTCCTAGTAGAAGAAGAGATACTTCCACTTTGGTTTCCTGAGTGCTGGGATTAAAAGTATGCCAACATCTCCAACCTGTTTTATGTTTTTGATTTGTTTTGCTTTTTGGCATGTTCATTTTTATTCCTTTTCTTTTTTCCCTATGTCCTAATTCTACCTAAAATCATTGCTATATTTAATAATCTGTTAACATCAGTTTACTAAGACAAACGAATAATCTGTTAACCCTGTACACTTTGTGTAGTCCCAGCATATTTAAAGAACTAAGTAGTAAGTCCATAGGTAGATTCTCCAATGGTGATTGTCAGCCTAAGGATGGTGCAATAGAGAATCTGTCCTTCCCTTCTTTTTTGTCTTCCTAAACAGTGTAAAAGAAGCCTGCATTGTTCTGAATTTGAACATTGGTTCTGCATTACTCCTGAAAGATGTCCTGCAGTCAGCTTCCGAGCACGTTCCTGCCACAGCAGCCTTAAATGAAGTTGGAATTTACAAACTGGCTCAGCAAGATGTTGAGATTTTGCTCAATTTGAGGACAAACTGGCCTAACACTGGAAAATAATGTATCTTTAAGAAAAGGGCTATTTAACAAAGAAAATAGTTGGATTGAAGTTATCTGCTAAAAGTTCTGAATTACTGAAACTGGACAAATGAAAACTTGGTAGAATCATTTATTATCTTGAGTTATGCTGTCACCAAAGCAATGAACATGCTTCCTCCGTCCTCCTGCTCCTAAGAAAACAAAGAACAGAAAACTCAGCTATAAGAAGCAGAGTAATTACAAATTAGGATTACGGATAGGCATGCAGACATCTGAAGACAGCGTGGGCGCAAAGGCCAGCCATAACTAACCTCCACTTTGCTAATCAAGGGGAACTATTGTAGAAAGCTGAACACCCCCAGTACATTGTAGAAATACTAAGTTACGGATGTATGTTGACAATTGAGGTTCCTGTACCCAGTTGGGATTTTACTATGTTTATATGAGAAATGCACAGTGCGTTGGGAGTGGGAGAAGACACCTATAATCTCAGGAGGATCACTGTGTGTTTAAGACTCGCCTGGGCAGCATAGATTCTGTCTCACCAGAGAAAAACAAAACAAACAAACCACACCACCCCCAAACCAACAACACAACAGTTTTATGAGATGGTGGTTAAGCTATAGTTGTTCCTAATTTTCAATTCTCATGTCTTTCAATTAAAGTATTTGTTGTATTTGTGTGTGTGTGTTCATGAGCATGTGTGTGTCTATTTGCTCATGTGTGGGATATATAGGTGTGTGTGCGCCTGTGGAGGTCAGAGGTCAATCTTGGGTGTTGTTCCCCAAGATGTCCACCTTGTTTTGGAGACAGGGTCTCTCACTGGGACTTTGGGCAGGCCCAGGGTTCTTCTGTCTCTGCCTCCCCTAGACAGGCATTACAAGTGTAAACCATCTCGTAACTATTAGCCACACCTGTTGACAATAACCTTGAGAGAGCAGAACTCTGGCCTAAATCTAGGTGGGAGCTTTGTTTGAAGTAGAAACACAATAATCTTGAAGGAACAAGAGGTAAGTTCCACCTCTCTGACCTTTGGTCAAGGTTAAAATATGCTCACATTTTTTGGGCCTCCATGGGTGTCTACATACCCACGCCCGTCCTGGAACTCACTATATTAAGATATAGGCTTCCCTCGAGCTCACAGAGATCTGTGTGCTGGGAGTAAAGGTGTGTTCCAACATACCCCACAGTGATGCAGTTTCCTGTTGAGACAAAAATTAAGCTGCCTATCATTACCCCTCTCCTTACCCAGGGTGAGTTTTCCTTGTGTTCACTTTGTAACTACTTGGAAGTTAAAGGGAGTGAAATATTTCACTCAAAACTAAGATGGCTTGGCAGGTAAGGTGCTTGCTGTGCATGTGTGAGGACCTACCTGAGTTTGAATCCTCAGAACCCATGTAAAGCTGCTCACACTAGGGTGAACGCTGCTTCTACAGTAAGATGTGAGGTGGAGATGGAGAAGCCTATAAGTTGTGGACTGGCCAGCCAGGGTTCACAGTGCTGCAGCAAGCGACAGAGTGTAGGAGGTGAGAACTGACACCTGAGATTGCTCTGACCTCTACATGTGTGCTATGGCTATGCATGCACACATATTACACACACTACACACACAGACATATGCACACACATACTCACACACCCACACACTAAACAAGAAAGGGTAAGTGGTACTTTGTGTGCAGTTGTGTTCAGAATCATACCATGTTACTAAAATATGAAAAAGCTTACACTTTGTCCAGTTATTAGATGCTCCTTATCATTGAAAAGTTCACCTGCAGCACACAGACCCAAGTGTGTTAAGGCTGCAAAAGTGAGCATGAGAAGAAATGAAAATTTGTGACGTGACCTTTATACTACACAAATGATATGCTACCTCTGCTAGAGGAGACCATTTGAAAACACTGACATGCTGTTATCAGTAAAGAAAGGAAGCATTCTATTAACTTCGTGATTCTGAGTAAAGTCTCCTGGTTTTTCTGCAAATAGTTGAAATTCTTGTATGAACTTAAACTATAACAAGTGGAAAAATAGTCATAGTGTTAGTTTTTCTTAAGATGAGCCTCTCTGCCGACACAAATAATTCCAATCAGACCAAATAAATGCTGCCCATGTTTAGTGCAGTGCTCCTGGGTGGCCCCAGGGGAGATGGAGAGGGAAAGAGAGAAAAGGGGAGACCACGGGAAACCTGGAGACCAGTCAGTGAGATGTCTCTCTCTGTCAATTGTAGAGCTTGGGAAGTTTCTTTCAATGTACTTCCTGTTTACTTAGGTAATGTTTTATCCTTCTGGATTCTTTGATGGATTTGAAGAATACATTGTTTTCCTTAGTTGTGATAAAAGATAAAATAAATATAAATATTGTAACTGTAATTCTTGCTTGATACCTGTTTTGTTGTTTTTTTCCTATGTAAATTTATTATGTTAAAATTAAAACCTTTTAATTTATATAGAAAAGGGGAGATGATGTGGGATTGATTCCTCTCTGTGTGCTGTGAACCATTGATTAACTAATAAAGCTGCTTTGGCCTACAGGCAGGGCAGAGTAGAGTTGGTGTGAAAATTAAATTGAATGCTAGGAGAAAGAAGGCAGAGTCAGGGAGAATCCATATAGCCACCGAAGGAGATAGACACCAGATGGAAACTTGCCAGTAGGCCACAACCACGTGGTGATACACAGATTAATAGAAATGGGTTAATGTAAAATATATGAGCTAGCTAGCAATGTGCCTAAGTGATTGGCCAATAAGTGCTGTAATTAATATAGTTTCTGTGTAATTACTTGGGGCTGGGCAGCCAGGAAACCAACAAGCACCCTCTGCTTACCGGTATGTATTCACTCATAGGTAGATACAAGCTGTAAAGCAAAGGATAATGAGTTTATAGTCCACGACCCTAGAGAAGCTAACTAATAAGGAAAACACTAAGGAAAATATGAATAGATCCCCCTGGGAAGGGGGAAACATAAGATCTCCTTACAAGCCTGGCTCATGGGGGTCGGAGGGAGAAAGGAGAGTGGGGAGGAGAACTTGAGGGAACAGAATAGTCGAGATGGAGGAAGGAAAGAGATGTTTTTATTGAGGGAGCCATTATATGGTGCTAGCAAGAAATATGCCACTAGAGAAAGTTCCTGGAATCCACAAAGACCCTAAGCAATAGTGGAGAGGGTACCTGAAATGGCCTTGCCCAGAAGTCACATTTATGAATATCTCAAATGTCACCATAGAACCTTCATCCAGTAACTGATGGAAACAGAGGCAGAGGCCCACAGCGGAGCGCTGGGATGAGTTCCCAAAGTCCAGTGAAGAGTGTGAGGAGTGAGAATATGAACAAAGAGGTCAAGATCATAATGGGACAACCACTGAAACAGTTCACCTGAGCTAATGGGAACTCACCAACTCCAGCTGGACAGGAAATGTACCAGCATAGGGCCAAATTATTCCCTCTGACTATGGGTGACATTTGTATGGTGAGGCAGATTGTAAGACCAATGGCAGTGGCCCCAGGATTTATCCCTACTGCCTGTAGTAGCTTTTTGGGAACCCATTCTCTTTGGATGGATACCTTGTTCAGCCTACATATAGTAGGGAGGGCCTCGAACCTTCCTCAAAGCAATGTGTCTTCCCCTCTCTGAGTAATGAATAGGGTGTGTGTGTGGGAAGATGGATGGAATGGGAGGAGGGGAGGGAGTGAGAAATGGGATTGGTACGTAAAATAAAAAAGAAAGTTTGTTTTCTTTTCTAAAATATAAAATTTAATAATAATAAATTATCCATTTGTAGTAACAGGATTTTTCTCCATTGTCATTCAATACATCATCTTCACCTTACTAAATTCATTTCTGTGTACATAAAAGCAGTTTTGTTTAAAGATTTATTTTTTTATTTATTATATATACAGTGTTCTGCCTGCACATTTGCCTTCAATGAAGGCAAATAGGGGAACTGGAATTATAGATTGTTGATAGCAACCACACAGTTGTTAGGAATTGAACTCAGGACTGCTGAAAGAGCATCTAGTGCTCTTTTTTTCCAATTAATATGCATGCCCGTCGACATTCACACACAGACACACAGGGACACATCACACACAGACACACAGGGACACATTCACACACAGACACACAGGGACACATTCACACACAGACAGACAGGGACACATTCACACACACAGACAGACACAGACACTCACACAGACGGGAATCAAACTCAGGACCTCGGGCACTGCAGGTGGCGCTTCAACCTCTGAGCCAGCTCTCCTACTGATGCATCTAGTGCTCTTAACCTCTGAACCAGTTCTCAAGTCCCCCTAAAGACAGTTTTAAGAGTCTGGTGGATAAGTAGACATGCCCTGTCTTGGATAGACTCCTGTGTTTGAATGCTTGGTCCAAAGGGAGTGACATTACCATAAGATGTGGTCATGTTGAAATAGGTGTGACCTTGCTGGATGAAGTGTCACTGTAAGGTGGGTCAATCCTGATGCTGGGTTTGCTACTGGCTTCTGCTCCTGGTGGAGTTTGTTGTCTCTGTGTCTTAGGTAACTGGTTCAGTACCACTTGGTTCTGGTGGAGGTCATGGACTCTGAGTCAGGTCATTGGCTCAATCCTGGACTGTCAGTGTCCCAGGACTGGGTTGGATCCCAGGGCTGGGTTCATTCCTGGCTTCTGCTCCCAGTGGAGCTTGTCCCCCCCCCCCTTTTTTTTCTGTCCTACGTGAAAACGTTCACAACACATCACTATGACGATGTTATTCCTGGAAATGAAATCCGAGTGGGATTTTTTAAAAAACGATTCCCCGGCTGTTTTAATTTTCTCTGACTTGGTATTTAATTTGAGAAGTAGGGGCTGGGGGCATGGGGAGTGGGGTGGAGAAAGAGAACTGCAAGCAAGCAAGCAAGCAAGCAAGCAAGCAAGCAAGCAAGCAGTGTCCATGGTGAAATATGTCTTTGAAAGGAGACTTAGATGGCAGGGAACTGCGGCTGCCATCTCCCTCCCTCCCTCCCCTCCTTTCTTCCTTCGGTCCCATTCAGTCCCTCCCTCTCACCATGCCCTCACCCTAACAATCCTAACCCTAAACCCTAAAACCTAACCCTAACCCAGGGCATCAGGCTTAGCATCAAACAATTTTAATGAATGGGGCAATGTTCTAGATTTCAGTTGTAGTTCTGTGAAAGTGTTATAAACAAATGTTTACCTTCCAGTATAAACAAATTTAAAAAATATATGGTCATATAAAATTTTCCTATGAAGAGGATTTATTTATTTATTTATTTATTTATTTATTTATTCAAGTTGTCCTGTGTTCCTCTATCCTCATATGAAATTAAGTTTACAATCTGAAAAGAAAACAACAGTTTACTGTTATATATAATATATTACTATATATTATATATAATTTTATATAACAGTATATATAATTTTATATACTATATAT